AATTACGGTACATACACAGAGGGGAAATCACAGAGTCCTCAAATCGTGTTTAGACTAATAGTATAATTCTAATTTTGTAAATAAATAAATAAACACAACAACCAGTCCATCCTAAAGGAGATCAGCCCTGTGTGTTCATTGGAAGGACTGATGTTGAAGCTGAAACTCCAATACTTTGGCCATCTGATGCAAAGAGCTGACTCATTAGAAAAGACCCTGATGCTGGGAAAGATTGAGGGCAGGAGGAGAAGGGGATGACAGAGGATGAGATGGCTGGATGGCATCACCGACTCAATGGACATGGGTTTGGGTGGACTCCGGGAGTTGGTAATGGACAGGGGGGCCTGGTGTGCTGTGGTTCATGAGGTCACCAAGAGTTGGACACGACTGAGCAACTGAACTGAAATAAACACATGTGTATTTATATGCTTTCAAAAAACTTTGAAAGGATATACATATCAGTGCTTTTATCTTGAGTTGTGAGATTATGGCTGACTTAAATTACTTTCTTTGTGCTTTTTTTGCATTTTCCATTTTTAAAAACCATGAACACATTGGGATGAAAAAAAAAAAACAATGTCCTTGATGAGAGTATAAGGAAATAATTCTTTAAAGTAGCACCATCTACTAGACAGAAACTTAGTGACAACCACATATACAATATTAAATATTCTAGTAGCCACATTTTTAAAGGTGCAATTTTAATATTCTGAAATCCAATATATTCAAATTATTAATATATTTTACATTCTTTTTTCTAACTAAATCTTCAAAATCCTGTGTACATTTCATACTAGAAGCACACTTCAATTCAGATGGTAAGTTTTCATCTGAAATACTTGATCTGTATTTAAATTTCATAATTTCCAGTTGATGGGACTTCCCTGGTGGTCCAGTGGTTAAGAATCCGCCTTGCAATGCAGGGGATCAGGGTTCGATCCCTGGTAGGGGAGCTACGATCCCACATGCCGAGGAGCAACTAAGCCACAGTGCCACAACTACTGAGCCGAGTCCATGTGCCGCAACAAAAGATTCCACATGATGCAACTAAGACCCAATGCAGCCACATAAGTTAAGTATTAAAAAGATTTTTAAAAAATTTTCATAATTTACAGTTGAAAAAGATTTACATTCCCAACTTGTTCCAAACAAGTTAAAAGGTTTCCCAAGGGCTGAATAAGGTTTTAGTTCTTATATTTAAATTAACTAAACACAAATAAAATAAATAACTGAAATAAAACTTCAATTCCTCAGTCTCATTGGCCATATTTCAAGTGCTTGACAGCCCACGTGGGCTAATGGGCACTGTGCTGGACACAGCTCAAGCATTCCAGCTTACGTAGGAAGCAACAATAAAATCAGAATATCCCCATTTTGTAAACTCTGATGAAATAACAGATCTAGACAACTACTAACATCACAGAAAGCAAAACCTGACAGAAGTAAATGTCACAAAACACCCATGAATTATTCTCACGTGAACAGACAAAAAGGACTGACTGAACCTCTAGATCTTATTATCAACTGACAGGAAACAAAGAGGAAAGGAATATATTAAAAGACAACATGGGGATGTAGTCAGCAAAATCCAAAATATAGGAAACTCTATGGGGCCAACAATCTAGGTTATTCAGCAAGAAATAAGGGGGGAAATGGAGAATTACAGGTTTAAAGAGGCCTAAAATACTTATCAACCAAGCATAATGTATGAATCTTAATTGGATCCAGATTCAAACAAATTGTAAAAAATAAATAAGACAATGATAGAAACAAACAAAAAAAGACAATGATAGAAGTTATCATTGATTTTTTAGGTGTAATAATTATGGTTATGTTAGGAAAAAAATTCTTTTTTACAGATAAATACCGAAATATGTACAGATAATACATGCTATGCTATTTGGGATTTGCTTCTTAAAATATCAAGTAAGAAAAGTGGTGAGTATAAATAAAATAGGACTGGCCATGAGATGATAGTTTTGAAGCTGTGTATAGGGTGTTTTGGGCTTCCCTGGTGGCTCAGTGGTAAAGACTGCCTACCAATGCAGGAGATGTGGGTTCAATCCCTGGGTCCAATCCTTGGGTTGGGGAGATGCCCTGGAGAAGGAAATGGCAACACACTCCAGTATTCTTGACTAGGAAATCCCATGGACCTAGAGGAGCCTGGTGGACTACAGTCCATGGGATCACAAAAGAGCTGGACAGGACTTAGTGACTAAACAACAACATAGGGTGCATTATTCCTTCTCTTTGCTGTTGTATATGTTTGAAATTGTCCATAAATTAAAACTGTTTAAAACTGAACAATTTTAAAAGATCATGTCACACTGGGTTTCTTCCCTCAAATCTGATCATTGTGACCTGGGAATACATCCAATGGTATTCAACTGGTCTATGATAAACCTAAGCTTAACATTCTGCTCTAAGCACTGGAAGGGATACAAAAGAAATTAAGTGACTCAGCTTCTGTCAATAATCTTTTTCAAGTGAAGACTTACAATCAAGAGACAATGAGACATACAATTAATAAAACAAACCACCAACAACAACAACAAAACCAACATACAAGGAAATGCCATACTGATTATTACTGTCCAAATACAAGGTGCAGTGACAAAGTGCTGTGGTGAGGGAAGACCAACAGTGATTAATTTAAACCTGACTGAGATAACATTTCACACCCACTGTAACAGCTAAAATAAAGATGGGTGCAGAATAGTTAGAATGCTTACTCATTGCAGGTGGGGATGTAAAATGGTACCACATTTTGGAGAACTGTTTGGCAGTTTCTTTTAAAGTTATACATGACCCAGTAATCCCATTCCTTGGTATTTATCCAAAGGAAATGAAAATATGTGGTTTAGTTGCTAAGTCGTGTCCAACTCTTGCGACCCCATGGACTGTAGCCTGCCAAGTTCTTCTGTCCATGGGATTCTCCAGACAAGAATACGGAAGTGGGTTGCCATTTCCTTCTCCAGGGGATCTAACTTCCTGACCCAGGAATCGAACCCAAGTCTTCTGCATTGCAGGCGGATTCTTTACCGACTGAGCTATAAGCTATAAGTCATTATTCAAATTTTAAAAAACAATGACCTTTAAAATGCTGCTTGGCCTCAATCCTTAGCTAATAGGTAGTTCAGAAGAGCTTAAGATGTTAATGGCTATTATGCGTGGTAAATATACTAAGGGGCAGATGCAGTAACGACAGACTTACTTAGCAGTTAAAAAAAAGTTTAACGTCGCACTGCACCAATTGTTAGCTTTTGTCCCTCCGTCTTAAGGCACAAAGGAGGAAATTGCATGTAGGGCTAATGAGGGTTGGGAATTGCTGAAGAACCATGGGAGGCGGGATGGAGATCCTGTACTAGGGCACTGATAACTAACCTGCTTCAGTCAAGGAAGTGAGGCTAGTCCAGGATGCTGGCTCAGAAAGGCAGGTGCTGACTGAACACGCTCCCACCTTTGGTTCCTGAAGGAAGGCTGAGATATTACATCTTGGCAACAACTAGCCAAGGCTTACAGTCTAGTTTCTGGGAGGCCCCAGTTCCCTAGGCTAACGCTTTTGTGCTGTGCTGTGCTCGGAGTAGCCTACGTTAGGGGCTGGGAGAAGCAGGTAACTTGGGGATGAAGGATGGAAGAACAGAGCTTATTCCAAGAAACCGAGAGAGGAGGAGGCCAAGATGCTCCTAAGCCTTCTCTATGACCGCGGGGGTGCATACAAAATAGCGAGACTTCGGACAAAGGCGGCACTGGAGTAAAAGCAAGTGAGGAAGAGACCCCTGGCGGAGCCAGCCCCCGGCTCTCAAAGTCCTCTTGGGCCTCCCCGCTACCTCCCGGCACCCCTCGCGCGGAGCCCCGAAGCTGTCAACCCCCTCCAGGCTCGGGAAATGCGTGGTTTTCCTTCCCGGTTTCTCCCTTAAGGCACAGCGGCCAGCCCAGTACCACTGCGTCTTGGAAAGGCTGGTGGTGCTCCCACCTTCACTTTAATTAGCATCTTCTTTTCAGTTTGGGGCTGCACACAGATAAATTGCTGCTTCTGCCGCTGCGGTCTCCGATGCCTCTCCCCAGCACTCCGCCTGTAGTAATCACTTCTGCTTCCGGGTCACTGCCAGGCTCCACCCCTGCCTCGCACGCCCCCACCCCCTTCTTTCCAAGGGGTTCCGGAAAGGCTCAGGAATATTTCTGCGTTTCGTTTCGGTGGCGTAGTGAAAGAAAAAAAAGAAAGTAAAAAAGCAGCCAGCTTAGTCACAGCAGAGATGACAATTCTGAGAGTCCCCAGTGAGTTGGGGCTAGTAATAAGCGGGCGCGGAACGAACTACCCCTCCCATCATGCCAGGGGGCAGCTCCGCGCATCCCACTCTGGGAGTTGTAGTCCCCTGTCCCTCGGATCCAACAGCATCCTCAGTGTGTGAACTCTGTTACCCAGAAGGCCTTGCACGGCGGCCACCGAAGCCGGAATTCCTCGGTTGCTAGTTCTCTGCGACAAATTTGCCCAACCTGTTATCCCACAAGGCTCAGCGGGGCTGCGCGAGGCTGTGGTTAAGCGAGAGAAGCGTCGGTCAACTGCCACCCGGATCACGGCGACAGGAAGTGAGTACCCCCCATCCCGGAAGCTGGTTTACGTGAAACCCACCACTCTTCGCTCCCGAATCTGCCCCTTATCCCATATTGGTCTTTGTAACGGTGGCAGAAAGAAGAGTGGGGGCGTAGAGAATGCACCATTTCAGGGTCACTCACGACTCCATCCCAGTTCTCCCCAACAAATAATACTATTTGTTGAAGACACCGAGAGTAATTGAAACTGCATGTGTCTGAAGTGACATTCTTCAGGGACTGTACGTCAGTCAATGCCCAGACTTTCCACGATTTGAGCTAGGAGAGAGATAAGCCTCCCAGCCCTAACGGCATTAAGACCTAAAGGGAAGTTGACTCAGCTCCCCTCTCCCAGACTTTTCCTACCTTCCAACCCTCAGATTCATTGCTATCTTAAGGTCCCTGCCATGCCTCACATCGACAACGACGTCAAACTGGATTTCAAGGATGTCCTGTTGAGGCCCAAACGCAGTACCCTTAAGTCTCGAAGTGAGGTGAGCCTGCTTTCCTAGTTGCTCTTTCTTGATCCCAAGATCCTTGCAGAGCCTGAACTGAGAAAGATTCCTGGCTTTTGCCCTCCTGCAGTACTTGTTTTTGGAAGAGTGAAATGCTCAGGTTCCTGTTCGCATCTGCAGGTGGATCTCACAAGATCATTTGCATTTCGGAACTCAAAGCAGATGTACACTGGGATCCCCATTATTGCTGCCAATATGGATACTGTGGGCACCTTTGAGATGGCCAAGGTCCTCTGTAAGGTAGGATTTCCCTCATGCCCCTTCCTCATGGTGTTTCGTGGGCTGACTGCAGAGGTATCTGCATCCCCACTTCCATCCCAGGTCAGCTCTGGCAGTTAACAGGATGCTTGATTTACTGCTTTCTGCAATAGTACTAAGGCCTCTTTATCTGACAACTTTAAATGGCCATCTGACTTAGGGAGATTCAAATCTAAGTTTTTCACCCATTTTAACAGAAACTTCACTTTTCTCCTGTCCAGCATTTTAAACATCCTGCCAATTTTTCCCACTACCCAGATCACCCTCTACAAACCACTCTTTACACTACTGTTGGGATACTCAGCATTCACTGTTTTAGTCCAGAAACTAAATATAATTTGAGCATTCAAAAATTCCCAACCAGAAAATCCTAGAGAGAAGAAATTTAGTTTCTTTCATGCCTGCTATTTTTTTTTTTTTAATCTTCCTTTTCTTTTAAGTCCTAGGTTCCTGGGTGTTCTGGGATGCGCCCAAAATGGAATGTTTTTCTTATACAGGTTATTGCTTGTTTTCAAAATGGAAGATGCTGCTCCTGTCAGTTATATTACTTGCTTCTATACCTGTAGCTGAGAAAGTAGATAGTTACTTTGGGTATCCTAAGGACATATACACTCTTCTGGCTAGCCATGTAGCCCTGGTGGATGGATTCTGCTGCTGCTTGTGGCTCTGTTATCCTTAAGGACTTTGTCTCCCTTTCTCTGTTTCTGATTGCTATAAGTCTTTCTGGAATGTCTGCTGTCATTTCTCTAAGGTTCATAGTTACGCAGCTTTAGTACCATATTACTGTTGCCATTCACTATCTGCTTAGCAATCCCACCATTGCCCGTTGTCCACCTGGCATATCCAGTACAGTTAAGGAATGGTGAATCTGACTTCAGTGTTACCAGATGTCCTACAGCACATGGACCTTGCTGGGACTTTCTTGATGCTTTATGTTGAGACTGGCTTTTCGTTTCTGCTGATGAATGCTGAAGAAGTCAGATTTTAGAGATACAAGCAAGTCTCAGTAATAATTAAAAGGTTCAGTGCAAGGACCTTTTTCTAGATCTCTAACTTGGTGTGTAATTGGATGTATTCATCATGCCACCCTATGCCAAGATATCTCCCAGGTGTGATGACTGCCTAGAGTGATTTTTCTTTGTTGGTGGCAGAGTGTTGCTGAGAAAGCAGAATTCAGTAGCAGCTTTGGCTGGGTAGTGTTGATCTGAGTATAGCATGTGCACTTCCTTACTGCTGGCTAATGCGTGACTCCCTTGGATCTCTTATCGGTTGCAAGATTTGTGCTTTCTCCAATGCTGTCTTGTTTATTCGCATGTCTGCACTTTTAAAGCACAAACACCAGCATTCACAGTGGCCTTTGAATGCCTTTCTCAGAATATTGGGATGTTGTCTGCAGTTTTTTGAGCTAGGGAGCATAAATCTGATGAGTCATTCTAGCCTTCAACTTGGTTAACTGAAATAGGCTGAATGAAACAGACTTTTCACGTTGGTCCATGACTTAAGAAAATCTGTCCATTACTTTTTTTTGGGGGGGGCGGGGGTGCCATGCGTTAAAGTATATGGGACCGGGGATCGAACCCATACTCTGCATGGGAAGTGAGTCTTAACCACTGGACCACCAGGAAAGTCCCTTTTGTCCATTACTTTAGCAGAGATAGAGAAAGGGTAGTACCTTATTGGCTGTTAACCTTAAGGCTTTACCTTTTTTGATTTAATTACTGCTGATAAATGGAACAGAAAATACCAAAAATAGGTTAGTTCTGTACTAGGTTGTCCTAGGAGGAGGAGCTGAGTCAGTGCAGGCAGACACTGTCTCTGTCCAACCTTTTCATGATTCTCTTTTGTCTGCTGCTTATCCCACTGCACCAACAGCTTGTCCTTGTCACTTTTTAAGTCAGAAGCGCTACATGCGCTGGCAGGTGAAATCCAATCCAGATAACAGTGCTTTGGTGGGAGTGTTAGGCAAGTACTAGCTTATGTGGAAAAGCCTGATTGCATTTGTAGGGAGAATAATGGTGGAACTGAGGTCTCAGCTCAACCACTGACATCTTCAAGTTGCTTTTTCCAGACTTCAGTCCTTCTGTCCCCCAGATAGGATAATATAAAGGTCTGTTTCCAGAGAAAGAGGTTCTAACAAAGTTCTTTCCTTCTTAACGGCTCTTTCTTCTCCCCAGTTCTCCCTCTTCACTGCTGTCCATAAACACTACAGCCTCGAGCAGTGGAAAGAGTTTGCTAGCCAGAATCCTGACTGTCTTGAGGTAACACTGGTCCTCCCTGATCCCTTCCTCAGCCCAGTCTTCCGAGAATCCTTTTTGCTTGGCTTCTGACCCTGACCCCCCCACTCCCGTTGGCTAACCAGCCATGTTGTCTCTGACGTACTCATAGCCCTGTTTCTCTCCCAGCATCTGGCTGCCAGCTCAGGCACAGGCTCTTCGGACTTTGAGCAGCTGGAGCGGATCCTGAACGCTGTTCCCCAGGTGAAGTATGTGTGCCTGGACGTGGCCAATGGCTACTCTGAACACTTTGTTGAATTTGTGAAGGATGTGCGGAAACGCTTCCCTGAACACACCATCATGGTATGTCTGTTACCCTCTAGTGGGTCCATTCCTCTCCTTCCTCCACTCTTTCCTGCCACTCTGTTTTGTTATAACAGTTCCTTTCTCCTCTACTGCATTTCCTAGTCCACTTAATCATGTCACTTGGTGGTTATCCACGGTTCCCCGTTTTAGATGTTTGTTTACTGGCCAGTGCTGTTTTCCCTGACCCTTGATACATGGTCTTGTAAATCCAGTACCTGATGTCACTCACCAATCCACAATGGAACACTTATGCATTGTACATATCTCTGGTACATACACACCTGCCCAAAGACATAGACAGACACTACAGTCTTACATTAAAGGGTTGTATCAAATGCAGTTTTATTTTTTTACAAGCTCAGGGGAGTGATGACAAGGCCTTGTTTTCTTCACAGCATTGTGGGGTCTCTCTGTCCTGTTCATCAAAAGCAAATACAATTGGGTAGGTGGGTACTTAGCCTACATTACCATGTCCTCCCACTTCCCCTGAAGCCAGAGAGGTTTCATGACCTAACAACTTAAGCACAGGAAATGTTTGGGTGTCTTGGTGGGGAGGGAGAGATGAATCTACTATAAATCCAGTGTGAACTTATTCCAGTTGGACCCCCACTTTACCCTAGTACAACAGTAACACTGGGCACTCACCCCCTTACCTCAGCTTGGGAAGCAGGGTCCTTTGAAGTGACTCATCTAAAAAAGGAGCCCAGGGACTCTTCTTTGTAATAATGTTGGAAGCACATGACCACCTCTCTTTCCTGAGAGGAGACCTTGAGAATGCTGTTTTGATGGTTCTGTCCCAGGCAGGGAATGTGGTAACAGGAGAAATGGTGGAAGAGCTGATCCTCTCTGGGGCTGACATCATCAAAGTGGGAATTGGACCAGGTAAGCTGGTTCACTGGGGGGTCACTGGCCACCCCTCCAGTGGCAGACATCTGTGGAGAACTTCATCCTCATTCTTGTCACATTCTTCTCAGGCTCTGTGTGCACCACCCGGAAGAAGACTGGAGTGGGGTATCCACAGCTAAGTGCAGTTATGGAGTGTGCAGATGCTGCTCATGGCCTCAAAGGCCACATCATTTCAGTAAGGTCATGGGCAGGGTAGGGTATGAAGCTGCCAAACATCTGGGTTCTCACCCACATCTAGAGGTTCTGGTAGAGTTTGGATCAGGGTTCCTGGGTCCCTGTCAGCATTGAGCTGGGCCGCTGGGACCTCCTAGAGGGCTTGGAGCATCCTTGCTGTCTCTTCACAGTGCTCCTTACTTTGCAGGATGGAGGCTGCAGCTGTCCTGGGGATGTGGCCAAGGCTTTCGGTAAGGAGGGCACGTAAGGAGGATCCTGTAGAAGAGGATGAGTCACCTCTGAGGATCTAGGATGAGGCTAGGGAAGTCCAAGAAAGCTGTCCTTTTACAATATGACCAGAGACCCAGAAGTCTGTGGTGTCACCTGGGGCAGGCCAGCGGGGGACATCCTGACACTCTAATACAGACTCTCCAAATGTGGGCCAGGACCATCTGCAACATCCCCTGGACTGCTGGATGGTGCAGAGGTCCGAGCCCCACACCGCATCCACAGGATCTAGCTCTGGGGAGTAAGTAGGGCTGCAGATCTGTACTTTCCCGGGTCATCCCTGCTCACACTGAAGTTGGAGACCTTTGCTCTTGGGACACTTGCAGTGAGTCTTGTTTCGCTGGGCACAGTAAAAAGAGGTGACCAGAAGCTGGCAAAAGCAACAAAAAACAGAGCAGAAGTCTAGAAGAGACTCTTTGAAATTCTTTGAAAAGTCAGGCCTACTGAGGAATAGAAGTCAGGGCAGAGTAGGCCTGTGCGCTTGGGTTATGGGCCAGCTAAGGAAACAAAACCAGGAAGATGCCAGAATCATTGTCAGGCCTGAAAATTTGGTGTGAGTTGCTTCTGAGGGTGACAGTTTGGGCACCTGGACCAGTTTCATCTCTTACCCTCTCGCTGGTGCTGGCAGGGGCAGGGGCTGACTTCGTGATGCTGGGCGGCATGCTGGCTGGGCACAGTGAGTCAGGTGGTGAGCTCATCGAGAGGAATGGCAGGAAGTACAAGCTCTTCTACGGCATGAGCTCCGAAATGGCCATGAAGAAGTATGCTGGGGGTGTGGCTGAGTACAGGTAGGTGTGGTGGCCAGAGGCCAAGGGTTCTTGGAAAGCATGACTTTCCAAGAAGGGTGATGGCAGAACTCATGGTTGCTGGGAGATGGATGGTACAGTTTTTGGAAGAAAAGTGATGAACAGGGAAGGACTAAATGCTAGAGACCAGGGTAAGGAATCCAGCGAGAAAAGGTAAGCAAGCTTTTCTTCTTCTAAGGGCCTCAGAGGGAAAGACAGTGGAGGTGCCCTTTAAAGGGGACGTGGAACATACCATCCGAGACATCCTTGGAGGCATCCGCTCCACCTGCACTTATGTGGGAGCAGCTAAGCTGAAGGAGCTGAGCCGGAGAACTACCTTCATCCGTGTCACCCAGCAGGTGAATCCGATCTTCAGTGATGAGAGCTAGACCTGAGCAGTTCTGCCCTCCCAGGGCTCTAGCATCCACCACAGGGCTCCCAAGTGGGCTCCTCTCATCCCAGCTACTCAGGCTATTATTACTTGGTCATTTCCTATGCTCTCCTTACAGCTCCTGCAGTAATTCTGTACTTCTCTATCTGCACATGCAAAATGCTGAGGGCACTCAGTGGGGAGGAAGCAAGGCAGGCAGGCTGAGACAAGGAAGTTGAGAGAATCAAGTGGGAATCTGGGGACCCAGCATTCTGAAGATGATTAAAAAGAAGAGAGGCTGATTCATACATAAATGTTTTATGTGGCCTTGGTTCTGGTAGAGGTAGGCTTTTAGAATCATGTTTTGTTAATCAGATTCATTAAATAGACCTTTGAATATCTACAAAGCGTGGAATTGTTTACATACTTTAAATACCTCAATAAAGAGAGATCCCAATGACTTTAAGATTCTGGGGTTTTCTGCATAAGGCTGGCATCTGGGTGCTACCCCAGGGCAAGTGCAGGAGTAAGCATTGACCCACTGGAGGCAGCCACAGTGAGTACCTTTCCTGTGAAATATCTCCATTCTAGAGCCGCTACCCCCAAGGAACCTGGCAGCATGAGAATTTACAAAGTATATTCTGGCATCAGACCACAGAGTTATTTTCAGAATAGCAAAAGGAAGTTTTTCTTCCAGGCTCTTAGCCCTGGTAATTGGGCGTGTCTGAACGGCACTCTCCAAGGGAGGTAAAATGGCAAAAGGATCCGCTTCCAGCCCCAGAGAGGCTGGTTGTGTTTCTAAAGAATGACCTACACTGACCTTAGAGAAGGCTTCATTCCCCTTCCTTGCACCAAGACAATGTTTTAACAAGTCCAAAATTTAATTATCAAGCATTACAAAGTAACTTCAGCATTGTAGTCAGGCAACCCAAGCCCAGGCTTCCACTTTATCCCCACTAAACTGTATGAGAGAAAGAAGACAGGCAGAATGTCGTGGGCACTTCAGTCTTATCACAAGAGTCTAGAACTGTCTGTACAGTCAGGGAAGGGGATAGACACAGTGCTGGGGCCAGAAGAGGGTAGGTATTCACAGAAGGTAGGGATCAGGGTGTCAAACTTTGTCTTCTGATAGTTTTCCAGAGGTTCCTGCAGAGAAGGGAGCAGGGAGATCCTATCATCATTGAAACGTGCCCTGATCCCTTCATATCCTAGAGAATGTCACTTTCTGTCTTGTTCCTCCCACCCATCCCTTTCCCAGCTTTCCTACTCACCCTTCCTTCGCTCTGGCTATCTTCCTCGTCCGAGTCCAAAACCAGGTCCCCTATGGTAATGTCAGAGCTGTACAGAGATGGAGGACAAACTGTAGGGAGGAAAGCAGAGTCCAGGTACTCTCCTCAGTGAACACAGATCCTCAGGAGTCCCCAGGAGAGAAGGCTGTTTGATCTGGTTCTGACTCAGGATACCTACCTGACTTCCTAGGAGGTGATAATGACAATCTTAGTGGTTTCATGTGGCAGTCCATGTCGCAGTTCCTGAGGTGGGAGCAAGCAAAGACAGGTGAAAGGAAAGCAGGCAGGACATGTGCTGCTAGTAGGAAGCAGCAGCTATTCTACTCACTCCTTTTGCTCCGAGGCAGATGAGTCAATTGGATTCCCCTTCACAGCTCTTCCTCCCAGGGTCTTGGACGGACTCCTAGACTTCCCGGTCAAGGGTGCTCTGGTGCCCATGGCACCTGCTGGATCTGCTGGGTGTGTGCCGTCTTTGCCCCTCCCAGGCTTAGATGTGACCTGGGCTGGTGAACCCACATCCCTGAAGGGGAGCAGCATGACTGTGGGGCGCTCCTTATGGCCTCTGCTAGTGGGTGCCCACTGGGACTGGATTCTTCGCCGGCCTAGAGGGGCCAGATTGAAATGGTGGCCGGTCAGAGGTTCTGGATGCTTCCTTGAGGCTGGTCCCTGAGGAAGCAGTGGGCCAGGAGAGGCTTTTGGCAGAGGGTCGTGGAGTGCTGGTCTTGGTTGCTGAGGAGGACTCTGCTCTGAAGGCTCTGTCGTGTTCACTGCATCAGTAGCAGAGCACTCTGAAGAAGAAAACAAGGCTCCTTAAAAAGCTAAAATTCTAACATCCACTCAGTTTGGTTTCTTATACTTCAGGCCCATGTAGCCCTTCCAGTGGGCTGTCTCAAAAGGTCTCAAGCTAAACACTCCACCCCCCAATTCGTGGTTCTCCTACATGGTCCTGGTACCTGGAAGTGGCCACCCCATGTCCACGCCATATTGGCTCAAGACGAAAGAAGAAGTAATAGAAACTCCAGGCTGCATCCAACTCAGCACATCCTGAAGCTGTGGGCAGGGGGAGAGGCATGAAGACCACAGGCCTTGTTACAACCCCACCCGCCACCCCAGCATTCTGCCCTTATATGTTTGCCCCAACAAAACCTGCTGTGCCTGCAGCATAGGCAGTGCTTTTTCCAGCTGACACAAATATTCAAAAAACAGCTTTTCCATGGCAGCCAGAAAAGTTTCCCCATACTCTTGTTCGAGTTCCTGCAGGAGGAAAAGCAGCAGGTCAGAGACGGCTAGAGCCAACAGCTACACCACTGCTTCCAAAGCAGCCAGTCCCACCTGCAGCTTCGAAGCCAAATCAACAGGGGCTTCTGCCAGCTGCTTCACCTGCTGGCAAAAGGTTTCCTGAGCCTCTGATATCTTCCTCAGATCCTGCTTTGTCTGTCGAGGGTAAAGAAGGCAAACAGGTTAGGGGCACCAGGATTCAGTGACCAGGAAGAGGAGCAACTTTGCTGCATCAGGTGTTAACCAGGGTAGGGCTTGCTTCAAGGGTTTACTCACGATTTTGGGGTCCCGCACTGCAGGTCCAGACTCTGGGAAGTGGTGATGTAGGGCATTTAGAACCTGGGCCCAAGGCCGGCCCTGCAGGATGAGCTCCACCACCAACTGTGGAGGGTACTGAGCTCAGAATGCCCACGTCGGAGCAAACTGCCCTTTTCCTACCGGTTCTATCCCCAAGCAGTCGGCCCCTATCCCCTCTACCAGGTCCTATTGGCTCCAATACCTTGGCCTTTAGGCCCATACACAGGCGTTCATGATGCCGGTAGCGAACCAAGCCAGGGGCAGCAGCGCGCAGGTATCGCAGAAACTCCAATACTCGGGGAAAATGCTCCACGCAGCGTCCGCGAATGACCTGCCAGCTGGCAGCAGCTACAAAGCGAAGAGCAGCGGGACCGGCCCCCGGGGGTGTGGCCATGGCCGGCGGACTCCACCCCAGGGGCCGCCTCTTGGGGTTCCTACCTCCTCGGCGCGGCTTCCCGACTCCTCCCAGGGGCGGGGCTTCCGGTGGCCCTCACTGGCTCCGCTATTTCAGTCTGCAACGGGTACTTGGCTATCCGACTCTGCGCCTACCAAGGGCCACCAGAATCCTGGGGTTTCTCTCCACCTCGGGATGGAGCCCGAATGCAGAAGCTGGCCAGCTCCACTGGCACTAGACCGCTCTGTCTGAAACGCCGCCGCTGTCTCAAAAGCGAAGGCTCCCTCCCTTCCGGCTCTGCGACCAGTTCTCCTACCCGGGAAAAGTGTGGGAGTGGCGAACCAATGGGCGGCCAGACAGGGTATACGTGACGTCGCGTCACAAGGCCACGCCCGGGTAGATCCGGCGCCGCTGCTGGTCCCCGCCCTCGCTTCCCCGCACTTCCGACAGCTAAGTGGGGGAGGGGATCGCGGATCTGGGCTCTGTCCCCGACCGGTGCATTATTTCGGGGAGCCTGCAGAGAAAGCGCTTCGTTCTTTGAAGACTTGACTTTCTAGTCTGTAAAGGGAGGTTCGTGCCACTTTCCCTCTCCATCGTCTTCAGCCTCTCAAATCCGATTCCTTAAATGCCAGCGCCCATACCAGCGTCTGCAAAGCCTTCCCCGGGCGGTGCGCGACTTCCAGTTAGAGTTCGGCTCTTTTTACAGACCAGGAGAGGGCGCCCGCCCTTAAAAAACAAAATACAAAGTTTGAAAAAATACGTCAGATTGATAACTTTTTTCTAGATGGTGAGACTTTAGGTAATTTTTTGTGTTTTTCTGGGTTTGATATAATTTTTAAAGGCGTGTAGTGCTAAAAAGTAACAACATAGATTTCCCTTTTCGAATTCTGTTGTGCGCTTACTCCAGTCAGCCCCCTCATATAACCTCTTTCTCCTTGTCACCCTTCCTGGGGTCTCTCCTTGTTTCCAGGGACAGAACCTTGACACACAGTGTGTATTCTTTGTTTTCGGAATTAATTATCTGCTCTGACTGCCTTACAGGGATTTAGTGAGACTACCCTTTACATGGGCCATCCCCTTTCTTAGAGATAATGGCCCCTATGCTCCTTCCTGTCTCCACCCGAGATCAGTCTTCTGTGCAGAGCCATGCATTCGACTGCCCGCGGGACATCTCGCTGGAAGTTCCAAAGTACTAAAAACGGACATCTATGAAATTCTAGTTACCTTCCTTTTTTATTTCACTTTTATTTTTTTCCCTAAAGTTCTGCCTTTATGTAGGTTATCCCTTTATGCCTTATATAGTTTCTGACCTATGTCGTTTTTCTTCTTTTGTGAAGAATTTCTTTTAGCATATCTTGCAAGTCAGGTCTTCTGGCTGCAAACTCCCTCAATTTTTGTTTGCCTGAAAAAGTGTTACTCCTTCACTTTTGAGAGATAATCTTGTTGGATACAGAAGTCTAGGTTGATGGACTTTTTTCCTTCAACACTTTAGACATTTTACTGTGCTCTCTTCTTGCATGGTTTCTGAAGAAGTCCGATGTAATTATTATTTTGGCTGCCCGCACGCGTTGCGGGGTCTTAGTTCCCCAAACAGGGATTGAACCTAACCCTGACAGTGAAAGCACACAGTCCTAATCACTGGACCACCAGGAAATTCCCCCAATGTAATTCTTATCCTTACTCCTTTATAAGATGTACCCACTTCTACTCCTCAGGATTCGTTCAAGATTTTCTTTTGGTTTTTGATTTTCCGTTCATCCTTCTTGTAAGGACAGAATTGAGAACTTCTAAGCTCCTTATATGCCAGACTGAAAACTGAAAATTATCTTTTATTTTAAATTCTGCTCTTTCTCCTGGCCTCTGTATTTCTTTGCATGACATGTTTCTTTACCCGTGACTCAGAAAACAAAACCATTGCCCTTAAGTTTGTCCTCTCTGTTCTCCAAATCTAATCCCTCACCAAGTCTAATCAATTCTACTTCTAATGGAACCTTCAAACTTACGCCCTCTTTTTTTCATGCTCACAGCCTGTATCTTATTTAAGGTTCCCTGTCTCTCACATTGAGAAGACTCTAGTCTCCCCCACCTCCAGCCCAACCCTTAATTAATTTTTTTTTTTGCTTTTATTCCATTTGTTTATTTTTGCTTTTCCCTAGTTTCTTTTCCATGTTGCTTTCACCATAAATCTGGTGAAATGCAAAATTGATCACATCATCCCTGAGCTCCCCCTTATTTTCAAAAGAAAGTCCAAGCTCCAAAATATGGCAAAAGGATTTTTAATGATCTGAATAAATTTACCTCTTCTAACACATTCCTTCCCACTTTGCACTTATCATGCACCTATAAGCCAATCCTCTACAAACTGCTTGCATTTCAAGATATACTGAGTTGTCTTATATTTTGTGCCTTGCACATACTGGATGATTCCTTTGTCCTTGCCTCGTGGACTTGACTTTCATCTTCTGTGGCCCATGTGATGACTACCTCCACAAAGCCCCTCATAGTTATCTCCCCAAGCCTCCCTCAGCAACTCTAGTGGATTTCTTTTTAAATTTTTTTAAAAAATTTTATTTTTGGCTGTACTGGGTCTTCACTGCTATGCGTGGACTTTCTCTAGTTGTGGCGAACAGGGGCTACTCTCTAGTTGTGGTGTTTGAGCTTCTCATTGCCGTAACTTTTCTTGTTGTGGAGTACTGGCTCTAGAGCTCAGGCTTGGTAGTTGTGGTGCATGAGCTTAGTTGCTCCGAGGCATGTGGGATCTTCCCGGATAAGGGATTCAACCTGTGTCTCCTGCATTGGCAGGCGGATTCTTCATATAAAATGTAAGTGGTATTAAATAGGTTTCCCTAGTACTTCTGCTGAGGTACAATCCCAGTAAGAGTTTTGCTCAGCTGGTCATTACTCAGCTCTCCCTGAGTACCCAATTATCTCTTCCCAGAGCTGGACTAGTTATCCCTCATGCATTCTTCCCACAAATGCTCCAAAACATAAACCTCCACTGCACTCCTAAGCCTCCAGATGTCCCATCACCCTCCAATTTAGTTCGTTTTCCATTCAACAGATATTTAATGAAAACCTAGTATGTCACAGGCTATGAATCAGCGTGAGTAAGAGAGATAAGGTCCTTGCCCTTCCATCCTACTGGGAGGGGAGCCAGAGGCCTAAGAACAAATTAAGCTGGGACAATAGGGATTCTGATGCTCACCCCCAGAAAATTAAAGGAGATGATCTCCATAAAGCACCCAGTTTGAGCTTAACTCATAGTAGGAGCTCAGCATATATTCGTTTCTTTCCCTCTAGCTGTTTGGAGAATAGCACTGCCTTCCCATTTTTTTGTTGTTTTTCTTTTTGAGGATTTCAAGCATTTTTGAGTTCTGATACATGCAGAGGACCAGGATAAAGTGGATAAATGTGAAGCAAGTTACAAAGTTGTTAGAAATCTTAAGCTCTCACATTTTCCCCCAAGTTCAATAAAAAGAGATACTGATGTATTTCTGGAAACTAATAAAGTGTATCGAACCACCTTAAATGTGCTCAATCTTGTTTGCATAATAATTCTCACTCTGGGGGTTATCTTAAGGAAATAATTTTAAAATGAGCCCAAAGATTTATTTTCTTGTACAAGGATATTTATTACAGCTCTATTTAGAATAGCAAAACTTTTGGAGGGGAGGGGAGGGATGGACTGAGATTTGGGGGTTAGCAGATGCAAACTAGTATATATAGAACAGATAAACAACAAAGGCCTACTGTATAGCACAGGGAACTATATATTCAATATCCTGTGATAAACTATAATGGGAAAGTATTTTAGAAGAAGGTATATATACACATATAATGAATGACTTTGTTACACAGTAGAAATTAACACTGTAAATCAACTATACTTCAATTTTTAAAAAATAGAGAAAAAAATAGTAAAACTTTGGCAAGACTTAAATTTCTAGGAATGAGAGATTAATCAAATAAATCACATCATTTTTATTAAAAAACAGTACCACTGTTGGAGTTTGCTCCACAAATTCAAGGAACAGTTATGTTACATCTTGCAAATTGTTGCTTTTAAGTGTGTAAGTAGCAAACACTTCTCCTGTAGCTCTGTGCTGGACCCTGTTCTGGGTCCTGGGTGTGAACAGACAGATAAGCTCTTAAGCGCTTACATTTTAGAGAAAAGAGAATTTAATGAACAAACAAGCACACTGATGTTAATAAGTGCTAAGTAGGATACAAAATAAAATAGGGTGATAAGAGACTGGAGGTAACCAACTAATCAGATTGATGGTAGAGAAGAGCTCTATGGGGAGGTGACATCTTTTTTTAATTATTTTTTTAATCGAAGGATAATTGCTTTGCAGAATTTTGTTGTTTTCTGTCAAACCTCAACATGCATCAGCCATAGGTATACATATATCCCCTCTCTTTTGAGGGTGGTGACATCTGAGTTGAGACCTGAAGAATGAGGGGCAGCCATGCCACGGGGTACAGTGTTCCTTTAGAAGGAAGAACAGATGCCAAGGCTTAGGTAGAAGGTTAGTGAATTTGAGAAGCAGAAGGACTATGGGGCTGAGGCAGCAGGGCCAGGGGCAAGTGGTGGAGTTGAGGTTAGAGAAGCCTGCAAGGCCAAATAGATGAGGGTAGCATTTTGCATGGTTCCAAGGGTGTTGGGAAAGCATTGGAAGTGTAGCCATAACATAAGCTGCTCCAGCAGCACAGATTTTAAAACTTACCTGCATCTTCTCTCCCTACTGACCTTGGCATGTCTTAGAACTTTTAGAAAACGACTAGTTGAGTGGGAGACAATTAATCTTGCTTGCTTCAGAATCCCAGGGACTGGCCTTAAGAATATGGGAGCAGACCAACCCTGGAGTAGAAGACTAAATGCACATAAACCCTTCTAGATGGTGCTGACCAGAATGCCACATGACCAATTTATTATTATTATTGGAGCTGACTGTGCGCTTCTGCACATAGCCCCCTCTCAAACACCCCTTAAAACCCTTTATCCTGTAACCGGTAACTTGGAGATGGTTTAGGGACATTAGTCCACCATCTTCCCAGATTGATGTCCTCCTGAATAATGCAGCCAGTCTCTTCCCACCAACACGTGTCTCTCGAGTATTGGGTTTCAAGCAGAAAACAAATGAACTTGGGTTCAGTACCAGTCCTGTCTGGTTTTAAGCAGGAGTGTGCCAGGATTTCATTTAGAGCTTAGAAAGCTCACTGGCTGTGTAGAAATTGGATTACTCAGAAACAAGAGTGGAAACTTATCAGGAGGCTATGGCAGTTCCATAGGGAAAGAGCACAGTGACAGTGTAAGTGGAGAGGACAGAGTCGGATATATTTTGTACATAGAACTGATAAGAAATCCTGGTGGGGTGAACCTTGGAGGAGAGAATAGGGAGGAATCAAGGGTGATTTGTAGGTTTTTAGCTGGAACGAGATGATCATAGTAACAATGAGATGGGAAAAACTAGGGGAAGAAGAGTTTGAGGGTGAAATTAAGAACTCTGAGGGGCCACTTTCAATCTCAGATAAAATACAGGCCATGGAGCCAGACTGCCCAGGTTCTCATCCTATTCTAGACTGCTCAATGATTTTTGACAGCTTCCCTTAGCCCTTGACTCGGTTTCTTCATCTGTAGAGGGGGAATTACAATCCAACTACCTTAAGCAGTTGCTGTGAAGATGACAGCCATTCTTATACATAAGTAAAGTCACCCAGTCGTGTCCGACTCTTTGTGACCCCATGGACTGTAACCTACCAAGCTCCTCCATCCATGGGATTTTCCAGGCAAGAATACTGGAGTGGGTTGCCATTTCCTTCTTTCCAGGGGATCTTCCCAACCCAGGGATCAAACCTGGGTCTCCTGCACTGCAGGTAGACTCTTTACATCTGAGCCACCAGGAAAGTCATAGGTTAGTATCAAATTCTTCACTCAGCAAGTATTCAGTGAGCATTTCTATGCACTAACTTCTAAGCATATAACAAAGACCAAATCAGACAAAAATCACTGATCTTTTGGAGTTTATATTACGGTTGGGGCAGGGGAGACACAATAAATAAATGCATTGTTAAAATATTGAATATGTTGGATGTAGATAGGTGTTATGGAGAAAAATAAAGCAGGAAAAGTGGTCGTGAGAAGAATGGGTTGCAACTTAAAATACTGTGGCCAGGGACTTCCCTGGTGGCTCAGTAGTAAAGAATCTACCTGCCAATGCAGGAGACGTGGGTTACATCCCTTATCCAGAAAGATCCCACATGCCTTGGAGCAGCTAAGCCTGTACATCACAGCTACTGAGCCTGCGCTCTAGAGCCTGGGAGCTGCAACTACTGAAGGCCACGCGCTTAGAACCCATGCTCCGTAATAAGAGAAGCTACTGCAGTGAGAAGCCCTCCCTCGAACCACAACTAGAGAGCAGTCCGCACAGCAGTGAAGACCTGGCACAGAGAAAAATAAATAAAAAATAAAATTGGGTGGCCAGAAAAGTTTCCATTAAGACAGTGATATTTAAGGAAAGACTTCAAAGGAAGGTACCTGCCACCTGGATATCAGGGGAATGATGTGCCAGGCAGGGAAAACTGTCAGTCGGAAGGCCATGATGTCAAGGCCTTGAGAAACAACAAGAAAGGTGACGTAGCCATAGCTGTTATTCTGTGAGAAGTGAGGAAGCACTGGGGAGTGTGGGCAGATTGGTAACATAATCTGATTGACATTTCAAAGCATCCCCTGGCTGCCAAGTCGAGAATAGACAGGGGAGGGCAAAGGCTTGTGGGAGAACTGGGGCTTCGATCCAAGTGATGGAGCATGGTGGATTGGACTACGATGGGGCAGTAGTGGTAGAGAGAATTAGATAATAAACAAATGATACAAAAATTCAATATAAGGACATCACATGGTAACATGTACCCTGGAGAAAAATAAAGAACCAGTGGGGATAGCAAACATGGAAGGTGTTGCGATTTTAAAATAGAATGGAAGAGAAGACCAAAAGATGGTGACACTTAAGCGAGTCTTGAAGGAGACGAGGGAGTGGGCCGTGGGGCCACGTGGGAGAGAAGTCTTCAGGCAAAGTGCAGCCCCACAGAGCTCATGGAACAGAAGTGTGCCTCATACTGTCCAGGTAGGAAGGGGCCAGGGAGCAGGATGGACTGAGCCTGGGACGGGGAGGGGAGGGAGGGCGGAGTCACAGAACGCTATAAGGACTTTGATTTGAGGGGATGCAGTGGAAGACTTTAAGTAGAGGATTGACATGATCTGGTCCACCTGCTCGTTCTGGCTGCTGTGTGAACAGGGTATCAAAGGACAAGAGTCAAAGTAGGGAAATAATTAGGAAGCAAGTGCAACAGTCCAGCTGAGGGAGGAAAGCAGCTTGAGCAGGACGGTGGCTGTAGAGATGAGGACTGGTCAGAAGCTGAACACCTATGAATGGGAGATAGAACCAGCAAGATTTGCTGACAGAGCCAATGTGGGTTATGAGAGAAAGAAAGGAATCAAGGGTGACTCCAAAAGTTTGGGGCCAAGAAACTGGAAAGATGGAAGTGCCATTTACTGATGTAGGGGAAGCCGCAGGAAGATATATGCTGGAGGGAGGTCATGAGTCTGACTTCGGACCTGTTATACTTGGGGTGTCTATGAGACAAGCACACTGGCCAGTCACATTGTAAAGATATTGAGAAGGCAGTACATACGCAAATTTGGGGTGCAAGGAACACATACAACTTGGGGATTCTTTAAAACCTCAAGGCTGGCAGAGCTCACCTTGGCAAGAGTGTAGCTGGATGACAGATAGCCTGGGGCAGAGGCCTGAGTCACCCCAACTGCCATGTCTGGGCAGAGGCAGAGGTACCAGCTGAAGAGAATGAGAACAGCAGCCAGGGATCCGAGGGACCAGGAGGGCCTAGTCTACCATCTAGAGTCTACCATCTCTAATCATGATGTTTTCAATGAATATTTAACTCTGTAGGAATTTATGGGCAGGGTGCCGGGGTGGGTGGTGGCAAGCAGCATGTGAAACAATGTTAAGTTACTTTCTGTACATGGTGGGAGTTGAGGATTGTTATTTTCTCCTTTACAATTTTCTGTATTTTCTTAATGCTTAACACTGAACACGGATTACTTTCATAAAAATTCTTTGACAAGGATATTTGAAGATCAATACTGGAAAGTGACTTTTCCTGTTCACAGAGAAGTCCAGCCTACTTCTACCTCAAACGTGTGCCCATAGAAAAGAATTTAGCTCCTTCTCTCCATTAGGGGGTGCTGTGGAAGGGGCAGTCCCCCTCAGCCCAGGTAGCTTCAGAAGGGCTTCGGCCAGTAGAAGCTCCCTGGGGTTGGGGGAGACTGGCCAGGGAAGCACTGGAGGCTGTCCTGATGCCAACTGGCCTCCATTAAGAGCTGTTGAGGGGTGCCATTGGTGATGTGCCAACCACGCTTCTCAGAACTAGGGGTGTCAGAAATGCCAAGTTGCATCCCCAGGATAGGCCGTGGGCCCACACTCCTTAGCTTGGCATAGACTGACACATGGACAGAACAGCAGCTTCATTAAAAAATAGTTTATTAGTATCTATCTCTAGCATCTGTGCAAATGAGATCGGCTCCACCCAGGGGCCCGGGTCTCCGCACCTGAGCCCCTGGGGAGCCTCTCTGCCGTAGGCCCTGTCTTGAGGCAGTGTCCTTGCTCATCTGACATCAGTCCCATTGCTCCTGGCCCAGGGCTAAGCCCCACCTCGAGAGGCCATGGGGATGGTCTCCCCTGAGCGACTGTTGCCTCTAGTGTCTGAGAAGGCCCCGCCTCCGGCAGCCGGGGCTACGTCCACCTGGATGACCCCGTGCACCTGGGAGAGCTGTGGGCTATCCAAGCTGGCAATGAGCTGGCGGGGGCCTGGTCTCACAGGGACGAACGTCTGGCGCAGGGTCACTGTCTCGTTGCCCCCAATGTCCCTGTGGGCAGAGATAGGGTCATGGGCCTGGGGTGACAGGGTGTGGAGTGGGGAGTAAGGGCTGATGGGGCAGCTGGAAGGAAGGAGCAGAAGGCGGAGCCCTTCCGGCATTTCTGGGCTCAGCTGGAATCTCTACACCCACGACCTAACCTACTGACGGAGGACAAAGCCTGAACCCCAAGTCCGCCTCCACAAAGCTTGATCAGTGGCTGCCCAGCCAGCTTCCAGAGCTGAAAATCTCCTCGGCATTCAGAACTCCTCCCTCCCTGCTCTCACAAACATCTGGGCAAAGACCGTGCACAGCCTCCTCCCTCTCCATCGCCAGTGCTCCTGCCCCAACCAGGTCAGCCCCATCCCCTGGTGGGTTTCCAAGATCAAGGAAACTTCACAAGGAGACTTTGGGGCTTGACACAGTGTTGCCAAATACTTTCAGGCTTGCCAAGAAAGAAGGTAGAAGAAAAGGAAGTCTCCTCTGCTACCATCACCTCTTAGGATGTTATCTCAAAAAAAACCCCAAAACAAACAAAACAAAACTGTAGTCCCCCAAAAGACAAACAAACAAAACTGGAGTCCCTCCCAAGAACAGACAATTGGCATCTTTAAATTAAATTGACACACACTCGTGTGTGTGTGTGAGAGACAGAAATACACATGCTGGTGTACACCCACACCCCCCCCCCCCCCACACACACCTCAGTGTCTTTATTTTCTTCCTTCTTATGGACCTCTAGTCCCAGATCACCCCTCCAGGAATTTACAATTTCACCTGCCTTCTAACTGCCTTCCTTGCCTTTCATCTCATTTTCCATTCATTTTTCCAATCACTCAGAGGTGAACTGAGCCTTTCAAGGGCTTGGCTTCCTTGTTGCTTAGGAGATAGATGAAACTGTAGCTCCCTAACCTGATACACAGGCTCACTCTGACTCACCCCGCCTGCCTGCGATCATTGCCCCCACCACCACCACATTCTTCATTCCTTCTGCCCACCAGCCCCAGTGAGCTCCACTCCTCCCCTGAATTCACAGTGTTTTCATGCCTTGCCCCTGGGCTGCCTCCGGACCCAGTTAACACCTCCTCTTCAGTGAGGACTCCCTGGAGCATCTCCTACCCTCAGGAAAATGAATCTCACCTTTCTCTGAGCTCCTCCAGCAATCTGCAGGTATGCAGACACATTGACTGTGATTGAATGTATATTGCAGTTGTTCACACCTGTTAGCATCTGTCCTTTCCTGCCTCTGCCTGGCCCCTGCTAAACTTGAGCCTGCCTTGGGGATCATTTCTGGAGCCAGACTTGTGCAAACACCACAGTCCTTCAAGGGAATGAGCCAACACCCCAACATCAAGGATGAGCTATCCATGGGGCAAAACATTTAGCTTGGAGCCTGCTGCCAAGGGACGTCCCTGGACCACTCTGTACTCCTTCTACCCCATTAACTGTAGTTTAGAACATGTACCAGTCATCCTCACTTTCTGATGTAAAATAGAAGTGAATATAAAATGAGGGCGTGGGATCAGATGGTCTTGAAGGTGCCTCCAAGCTCTATGAAGACAAGAAGTAGGAAAGTCTGGAAGATAGAAGTCTATAGCCTACCTGATAGGTTGTCAACTTAATTTCTAGACTTCCTATCGGAATATCCAACTTGAAATTCAGTCTACAACTTAACAGGTAGGCTATACATACTCTGCATGCGTGCTCAGTTGCCTCAGTCATCTCTGACTCTGAGACCCTATGCCCTGAAGCCCGCCAGGCTTCTCTGTCCATGGGATTGTTCAGGCAAGAATAATGGAGTGGGTTGCTATGCCCTCCTCCAGGGGATCTTCCCAACCCAGGGATGAACTTGCATCTGCTACAGCTCCTGCATTGCAGGTGGATTCTTTACCACTGAGTTACAGCGGAAGCCCCAAGCTGTACTCTGCCTGGTAACAAATCTGTGTTTTTAATTTGTGCCCACTTTTCCATTGATATGAGGTTAAAGGTTGTTTGGGTTCAGACCAGCCTTCAAAAGTCTATTTACCCATACTATAATTGAACTGTGGGGTTTCTCCAGTGGCTCAGGGGTAAAGAATTTTCCTGCAATGCAGAAGACTCAGGAGACATGGGTTTGATCCCCGGGTTGGGAAGATCCCCTGGAGGAGGGCATGGCAACCCACTCCAGTATTCTTGCCTGGAGAATCCCCATGGAGAGAGGAGCCTGGTGGGCTTCAGTCCATAGGGTCACAAAGAGTTGGACACAATTGAAGCGACTGAGCACACACATGTGTAATTGAACTGTACTATTTCAGAGCCTAGCCTTTATTTATAAGGTTATTTCCAAGATAAATTGCTCTCTAGGTTCCAACAAGGGATGTCAAGATCTCTCCCTACCCTGATCTTAGTGTCTGGCGAGATCTTGGCTGCACCCTGGTTTGAGAGTTGAAGGCAAACACATCAGCTACTAACGCAGGAATGTGCCTACAACTGAGTGCCAGTAATAAAACAAACTCCCTGACAGGACATCAGAACTTAGACATCCAAATTAGCATTGTCTTTGCTGCTAATTTGAGTATTAGCAGCAAATTAGCATTTATGCTCTTGTTTAACCACACTGAACATTTAAAAAAGCTCCTCTCAGATTTTCCTTCACAGCCATTTAAAACCACACACACATTACAAGTACCCACTTGGGCGTACACTCACACCTGGCCAAGTCACTGTCCCTCCTTTACAGTCAAGGTTCATTTCTGATTGAAAAGGGCATTTATGACCCACCTGGCTTGCTTATTTACCTTATTAATCAGTCTTAGTTCTAAATGACTTGAGGCTGTTTCCCCAAAGTCAAATCCACTCCCTTAGAAGACCACCCTAAGGACATTCTAGAGAATATGATTCAGGCTCTGGGGGAAATCCCCGAGAAGGGTTTGGAGCAGACTTCTAGCTTCCCCTGGTGACTGCTTTAGTGGTGACAACATCCATCTGGAGGAGTAAGCGCTGGAATGTTTATTAAGTGGCCAGTCAGCAGATGGGGTGGCATGCCTTATGCCATAATGAGGCTCCATACCACAGCCTTTGATGTGCAAATGAGAGTGAAGTCATGCCAATTTTGGAATCGCTTGGGTTGGCCAAGAAGTTCCTTCAGAGGTTTTCTCTAAGATGTTAGGGAAAAACCCAAACGAACTTTTTGGCCAGCCAACAACACACCCAAATCAGCAGCTCGGGGCTCTCACCTGTGCTGGAGGCCCCGCCTGGGATCACAGTAGCTGGAGAAGCCACAGAATGTCAACTGAGGGCCTGCCTCGAGAAACCACAACCCAACCCTCTCATTTACTGGGGGCAGACTGGGCCCTTTCAGTGGCGCGACTCTCACACGAGCCCCACAGTTGAAGAGAGGGGCTGAGTCTCCAGTGCTCAGTGCGGGAGGCGCTTGCCTTACTCCCTGGAAGGGGAGAGAATCAAAGATCTGGCAGGGAAGCTGCGGGAAGCCCAGCTCCGGGGACCCCTCAGGACAGGGGAACCTCTGTCTGTCAGCAGCAGGTGAGAGACCCCAGTAGGTAGGTTGTCTGGGAGTTCCAAGCTCCGCTCTCTAAGCTGCCAGAAACCCTTTTAGGGTGACAGGAGGAGAGCGCTCCTTTGTGAGATGTCCCATCACCCAGGAGCCCAGGATGGGGCAAAGGTCAGAACAGCAGCCTTTTCAGCTCTGGCCTGTTGGCGAAAGTGGTGGCCACCCCCAGGCAGAGCCTGTGTGTGTGGGAAGAGGGATGGGTAGGGTGGTCAGGGACCCTCGGCTTCCCCATCCAGCCCCTCTGTGAATGCAGTCACTTTCCCTCGGGTGCTCTTTATTGGATGAGGAAAATGCCTACCCTTGTCACCAGAAAGCTGAGCTTAAAGGTCAGCCCCTGGCCTTCTCTGCTTTCCCTGTTCCTGCATGTATGAGTCCATGTCAGAGATGGCAGCATGGCCTGGGAACACGGCCTTGGGACTGGCTAGGCACGCAGCCTCCCCTGGCTTGGGATCAGGCCCCAGCAGGTGGCATGAGGGCCGCAGGCACAGGGCTTTCTCCTTAGGAACTGCTTGCTGTGGTCGCGGCACCAACCCAGCAACCAGCTTGAGAGCCTGTGTGAGGTGCTCGCCGTGGTGGAGGAGTGGAGCCTGCCCCTTAGGAGCCGAGACACTGTGGGAGATGTGGCCATCAGCCCATCTGTAAAGGGGGGGCAGCTACCAGCAGAGGACTGATGCTGTGCCCAGCACCACGCTGAGGGCTTTGCATGCATGGTCTCCTGTGATTCTCAGAGCCAGGTTATTACTGTTATCCCCACTTTACAGGTGAGAAAACTGAGGCACAGAGATCATACATATAGCACACAGCCCATGAGTGATGAAGCTGGGACCTGAGGCGCATCATATGATTATCTGTAATCTGCTTTAAAGGGTACTGAGGGTCTCCAAATGAGCTGACATTCCTGAAAGTGCCTGGTCAACTTTTGAGTGCTGGGTGAGAGTAGTGACAAATTACTAGTGATCCCTGTGTGAAGAGTTAGCTCCCTAACAAGCCAGCAAGGCAGGTCAGGGACACCGAGGAGCACTGCCTGAAACAGGCCTTCTTAGCACTGGCTGGGTTGAACTGAGTCAGGAGGTGTTGCTGGCCGGCCCCAAGTGACAGACCTTACTGTCCTGACCTGAGCAGGAGAGGGACAAAGGTGGGACCCATGCATCCAGGAGGCTGGCAAGGGCAGTGGCCGGGGCAGAAGGAGGGGCTGCACTCACCCAACATTGAGGATCTTGGGCCTCTGCAGCCCGGAGCCCTCGAGCCGGAAGACGACGTTGGTGAGGGTGACAGGCAGCGGGTTCTTGAAGACAATCTGTACTTCACACTCCTGGCCAACCACGGCTGCTCCCAATAACTGAGACCGAAAGAGACCCCCATCATCAGAGCCTCAGGCCAAACTGATGGGCCTGGACACTCCCACCAGAGACGGAGAGAAAGCTCCTTAGAATGAAGACCACCCTGACCCCACATTCCTGCCTCTGGGGGAGGCTCACCCAAAGCCAGAGAGGAAACTCTAACCTACTCCTCAGCTGAAGCCACCCCAGAGTAAGGGAAATGAGATCTGATTTTCCAGAAAAGGGAACCAAAGTCCAAGAGCCCAGGCTGGTCCCTGACCTCCCACCACTGCTTCTGGCCTAGTGCCCTGCACCTCACCCTCTAATCCCCCCCAGCCCAGCCCGATGCTCTACCGTGAGACTGAGGTCTGGGGTACGCAGACGGAAGGTGTGCTGCTTGGCCAGCACCTGCCCATTCTCCTTCACGTGGCCTGAGACGTTGAGCAGCATGGCCCCCTGGTCTACGAGGTGGACCCGGTATTCCTTGTAGGCCACGGGCATGGTCACGCGCTCCGCTGCGGGGAAGAGGCCTGGCGTCACCGAGGCCTGCTTCCCCAGACCCGGCCTCCCCGGGTCTCCATGTCCCCCGCCCTGGGGTACCCAGCCGTGGAGCGGGTGCTACAGCCTGGGGAAGGGGCACTTACAGGCCCCCGGCGCCAGCACCACCTCCTTCTTGCTCTCCTTGAAGACGGATCCCGTGACGCCAGTGTAGAAGGTAACAGAGAGGTAGAGATGCAGCTTCACGGTGCGGGGGCTGCTGCCGCGGTTGGTCAACACCACGCAGACCGTCAGGTCCTGCCCCATCACTGCGTCCTGTGCCTCCACCTGCACGGCCACATCCTCCGCCGAGTCCCGGGTGGCGTACACATTGGGTTTGCTGCCGTGGGCAGCCGCGGTCTCCACTGCCTTCCTTTCTGCTTCTGAGCCTGGGGGTTGGAAGGGTGAGCTTACAGCTGCTCCTGGGTCGGAGGGCGCTTGGAAGGCACGCTTGGTGTGGCCAGAGCTGGCCGGGATGGGGAGCTGGTACCTTCTGGGTGCTTATAGGTGTGCGTGATGTCTTCCCGCATGTTGGAGCCGACGGCCTTCGTAATGATGAGTGAGCCAATGGCCTTCTCCTCCACATACACGATCTTGAAGCTGCCGTCATCCTGTCGCTGCCAGTAAACTTTATCACTGTTCACCTGTCGGGAGGGCAGTTGTGGGGGGTATGAACCAGAAATGAATGAGCCAGAGGGTCTGAGGGTGGACCTGACCTCCCAGCTGCCTTCCCCAGATCCTAAGAACTGCAGGGAAGGCTGGATCCAAAGGTTGGGAGCTTCCTGGCAGAGTGAAACTGGGAGACTTTTCTTTTTTTTTTTTGCGACTTTTCAAGCTGAGCCAGAAAAGGCCAGACAGCAGGAAAGAAGTTGATCTGGGAGGCTCCTCACGGTGCGTTGGGCACTAATAACAGTAATCCCTTGTACTCACTTGCTGACTCCATGACTTATAAAGCAGTTTCATACCCATTATTTCTTTTGATCCTGAGCACAGAAAGCATAGCAGCCATTATTATGGCATTTTACAGTTGGGGAAACTAAAATTTGTAGAATGAGTGACCTGCCCAAAGTCACACGGGTAGTTGGTCAGCAGTGGGGCAGCACCAGAGAACCTAGGACCAACGCCAGTGCCCTGGTCTCCCCAGGCTGCCCACGAAGGCACCAAGGCGCACAGCCCTCACCTCTGCAAAAATGAAGGGTGTGTCGTACTTCATGTAGACCAAGCCATTCTTGATGGACTGCACAGAGCAGGGCCCACAGCAGAAGATGCCTAAGGGAGTGAGGGCGCCACAGGGATGAGAGATCCAAGGAGGCTGAGTGGGACCCCCAGATCCTGGGCCCACCCTTCCAAGCCCACCCAGTGCCCACTGCCCGGGTTCAGCCCCCACCAGTCCAGATTCTCTGGTGGCTCAGACGGTAAAGAGTCTGTCTCCAATGTAGGAGACTTGGGTTCGATCCCTGGGTCAGGAAGATACCCTGAAGAAGGAAATAGCAACCTACTCCAGTATTCTCGCCTGGAAAATCCCATGGACGGAGGAGCCCGGCAGGCTACAGTCCATAGGGTCACAAAGAGTTGGACACGACTGACCAATTTCACTTCACAGTCCAGCTCAGGGAGGGCAGACAAACGGGAGAGCAGTCCTGTTTTGCTTCAGTCATTGGTGGGGGTGAGGGGGGCAGGGACAACTGTGGGGACAAGCCTGCCTTGTTAACCAAATTGCTGGCACACTTCCTCCACTGGCTGAAGCTGGATGTCGGCTGTCTGTGACTCCCAGAGGTCAAGGCCCCACCCCACCTACCCCATCCTACATCAAAACAAACCCAGAACCCATATGGCTCTGCTTGCCACCTGGGAGAGCGATGACATCACAATCACCATTCCAGAAAGATCCAGATCCACTCTCAGTTCTACAGCCCACGGTATCCTCTCTGTGGGGAGGCGACAGGGGAGCTGGTAGGAAACAGTGTCTGTCTTCAACGTGCTCTGGAGGGCTTTCTGGAGGACATAGGCTGATAGAGAGGAGGCGTGGCTGACAGGACACAGAACAGGAAGTGAGGGATGTCCAACGGGAGAGAATCTTAGAAATACCTTGAACTAGGGTCTCCTTTTACAGATGGGGAAACAGGCTCAGCAAGGCAAAGTGAATGCCAGGAGACACAAGACAGCCAGACACAGAGAGACTGGAAGGAGCTAATCCTTACTAAGTAGCTGCTAAGCTCCAGCCAAGCTGCTGGTCTAACATGCTTTCTCATTTGATCCTCCCAATCACCCTATAAGGTATGCCTCATCCCCGTGTTACAAACAGGAACACCAGAGCCCAAAGGTGCAAGGAACTGGCCTAAGATGACATATCTAAGAAGTGATCAAGCTAGAATCAAGCCCGGGCCTGGCTGGCCTCAGAATCCCTGCCTGCCACCTAGCCCACCCACTTCCTAGAGCGGGGACTGGAACTCAGGTCTCCTGGTGTCCTGTGACAGGCTGTTTAAATATAACAGGCATCTCTGGGGTTGTAAAACTCAGGGGGCACTATTTACAGAGATGATTGAGAGGGAGGGGTCTGGTCAGAGACCAGAAGAGGATGTAGGCTAGGGGAAGGCTATCTGACTCAGGGTGAGGAAGGGAGAAGCGAGAGGTGGGGAGGGAAGAAGCAGCTGGAAGGGCAGGTGGGGCCCGCCTGGGGCCAGATTATTAAGTGGGAAGGGTGTGGGGGACCTGTTTGAGATCTAATTTTGTTTTTGACCACACCTCACCATGCAAAACTTCCCCCACCAGGGACTGAACCTGTGGCCCTGGCAGCGGAAGTGTGGTGTCTTAACCACTGGACCACCAGGAAGGTCTGGAGAGATCTTATTTTTGCAGAAACGTGCATTGCGGAAAAGAGACTAGTAGGTTATGTCATCAGTGATTATTTCTTAGGCCGGACTGGGTAATAGAAGCTGTTATCTCCTTTGAACCTACCTGAACCCTAATTTTTTTCCCCATACCATACATGTAACTCAGTGGAGCAATGAGAGGAACTTGGTAAAAGCAAGACTATGTGTCAAAAGAGAGGAAGTCAACACACAGAAATCTCTTGCATTCCTATACACTAACAATGAGAAAACAGAAAGAGAAATTAAGGAAACAATACCATTCACCATTGCAACAAAAAGAATAAAATACTTAGGAGTATATCTACCTAAAGAAACAAAAGACCTATACATAGAAAACTATAAAACACTGATGAAAGAAATCAAAGAGGACACAAACAGATGGAGAAATATACCGTGTTCATGGATTGGAAGAATCAATATTGTCAAAATGGCTATACTACCCAAAGCAATCTATAGATTCAATGCAATCCCTATCAAACTACCAACAGTATTTTTCACAGAACTAGAACAAATAATTTCACAATTTGTATGGAAATACAAAAAACCTCGAATAGCCAAAGTAATCCTGAGAAAGAAGAATGGAACTGGAGGAATCAATCTGCCTGACTTCAGACTATACTACAAAGCCACAGTCATCAAGACAGTATGGTACTGGCACAAAGACAGAAATATAGATCAATGGAACAGAATAGAAAGCCCAGAGATACCATCAGCAGACGAATGGATGAGGAAGCTGTGGTACATATACACCATGGAATATTACTCAGCCATTAAAAAGAATTCATTTGAATCAGTTCTAATGAGATGGATGAAACTGGAGCCCATTATACAGAGCGAAGTAAGCCAGAAAGATAAAGACCATTACAGTATACTAACACATATATATGGAATTTAGAAAGATGGTAATGATAACCCTATGTGCAAAACAGAAAAAGAGACTCCTATGTATAGAACAGACTTGTGGACTCTGGGAGAAGGCGAGGGTGGGATGTTTCAAGAGAACAGCATTGAAACACGTATATTATCTAGGGTGAAACAGTTCACCAGCCCAGGTTGGGTGCATGAGACAAGTGCTCGGGCCTGGTGCACTGGGAAGACCCAGAGGGATTGGGTGGAGAGGGAGGTGGGAGGGGGGACCGGGATGGGGAATACATGTAGAAAAAAAGATACACTATGGTTGTGATAAAATAAATAAATAAATAAATAAATAAATAAATAAATAAATAAAAAAGAAAGCCCAGAGATAAATCCACGAACCTATGGTCACCTTATCTTCGACAAAGGAGACAAGGATATACAATGGAAAAAAGACAACCTCTTTAACAAGTGGTGCTGGGAAAACTGGTCAACCACCTGTAAAAGAATGAAACTAGAACACTTTCTAACACCATACACAAAGATAAACTCAAAATGGATTAAAGATCTAAATGTAAGACCAGAAACTATAAAACTCCTAGAGGAGAACATAGGCAAAACACTCTCCGACATAAATCACAGCAGGATCCTCTATGACCCACATCCCAGAATTTTAGAAATAAAAGCAAAAATAAACAAATGGGACCTAATGAAACTTAAAAGCTTTTGCACAACAAAGGAAACTATAAGCAAGGTGAAAAGACAGCCCTCAGATTGGGAGAAAATAATAGCAAACGAAGCAACAGACAAAGGATTAATCTCAAAAATATACAAGCAACTCCTCCAGCTCAACTCCAGAAAAATAAATGACCCAATAAAAAAATGGGCCAAAGAACTAAACAGACATTTCTCCAAGGAAGACATACAGATGGCTAACAAACACATGAGAAGATGCTCAACATCACTCATTATCAGAGAAATGCAAATCAAAACCACAATGAGGTACCATTACACACCAGTCAGGATGGCTGCTATCCAAAAGTCTACAAGCAATAAATGCTGGAGAGGGTGTGGAGAAAAGGGAACCCTCTTACACTGTTGGTGGGAATGCAAATTAGTACAGCCACTATGGAAAACAGTGTGGAGATTTCTTAAAAAGCTGGAAATAGAACTGCCATATGACCCAGCAATCCCACTTCTGGGCATACACTCCGAGGAAACCAGATCTGAAAGAGACACGTGCACCCCAATGTTCATCGCAGCACTGTTTATAATAGCCAGGACATGGAAGCAACCTAGATGCCCATCAGCAGACGAATGGATGAGGAAGCTGTGGTACATATACACCATGGAATATTACTCAGCCATTAAAAAGAATTCATTTGAATCAGTTCTAATGAGATGGATGAAACTGGAGCCCATTATACAGAGCGAAGTAAGCCAGAAAGATAAAGACCATTACAGTATACTAACACATATATATGGAATTTAGAAAGATGGTAACGATAACCCTATATGCAAAACAGAAAAAGAGACTCCTATGTATAGAACAGACTTGTGGACTCTGGGAGAAGGCGAGGGTGGGATGTTTCAAGAGAACAGCATCGAAACACGTATATTATCTAGGGTGAAACAGATCACCAGCCCAGGTTGGGTGCATGAGACAAGTGCTCGGGCCTGGTGCACTGGGAAGACCCAGAGGGATCGGGTGGAGAGGGAGGTGGGAGGGGGGACCGGGATGGGGAATACATGTAAATCCATGGCTAATTCATCTCAATGTATGACAAAAACCACTGCAATGATGTAAAGTAATTAGCCTCCAACTAATAAAAATAAATGGAAAAAAAAAAAAGAGAGAGGAAGTCAGGGGCTGGGTTCACTCTGCTGCTGACCTAACACTGTGCCCCAGAGAAAGACACTAACCCAGCCGATCTGCAACATCACCAGGGGAACTTTCAAAAACACAGATTTCTGGAATCTATTCCCGGAATTCAGGCCTAGAAATTTCCTTGAAACAAAACTGAAACCACCTGAGAGAGAATAAGAAATTTTACAATTTATGTTATGCAATTCTGCATATTTTTCTTCTTCTAAGCATGCTTTACTTAAAACAGTGCTTAGTCACTCAGTTGTGTTCGACTCATTATGACCCCATGGACTATAGCCCACCAGGCTCCTCTGTCTGTGGAATTCTCCAGGCAAGAATATTGGAGTGGGTTGCCATGCCCTCCTCCAGGGTCTCTTCCTGAGCCAAGGATCGAACCTGCATCTCCTGCATTGGCAGGCGAATTCTTTACCACTGAGTCCCCTGGGAAGCTCTTTACTTAAAATAGTGACTTTTTAAACTACAAAAAAATATATATAAATAAAAAGGTCTTTCAATTAATTACCTCCAGGACACATAAATAAAAATGTTAAGTGGGAAAAGTGGATTTGTAGGGTGAGGGAAACCTCTCACTGAATTCTCTCAAATCTTTGGACTTTTGAGCCATCTGGGTGTAATAACCATGATAAATAAATAAAATTTGGGCACATAATTATGCAGAAAGTTGAAAATAAATGAAGGGTCACATGGTGATTGCCCTCATGAGTCCGTCTGAAGAACTGTGGCACTAAAGGACCTGACTCCAAGGCCCTGTCCAGGACACGGGAGTTTGTGCCCCTAGTTGGGGACACAGGGAGGGGCCCCCACTGGGGTCTGGGCACCAGGCAGGGGCCCTGCTCACCACTGCTGGTCTCCTGTGGTGTGGCGTCCACAACCTGCCACCCATCGAAGCCTGAGGGCAGATCTGGCCTCTTCATCCAACAGTCGTTCCACACGTGGAAGTTCCTGGATGAAGGTAGATGGAGGGCTCGGTAAGCTGCCTACCTGGGGCCTCCCCAGCCTCCCCTGCTCTCGGCATCCAGGCCTCGGGTCTCCGGTCATCAGCAGGGACAGGCAGCCCAGCCCGGCCCCAGCCTCACCAGACAGAATCATGGTTCAGGTGCTCCAGGGGCTTCATGTTCTCGTCAAAGTAGATGTCCATGGTGAGGGAAGTGTCTGTGTCGTGTGCGGAGTTGAAGTTGGTGACAGTACGGGTGGCCAGGCCCAGGCAGCGCAGCACTGTGGGGGGGGGGGGTGTGCAGGCTTGGGGTTCAGGGCCCATGGCCAGGGCAGCAGTAGGGGGGCAGGTGAGGCATGAGGTCAGGAATAGCAAGGGGACACGGGTAACTGGGGTTGCCGAGCTGGGGTAGGGGTCACTAGGGTCAGAAGTTCACCGAGTCAGGGAGTGTTGGGGGTTAGGGGAAGCCAGGCCACCTGCCTGGCCTTGTGCCTGCCTGTCCCTTCTCCCTCCTCTCCTCCAGGCCTTTCTGGGTTGTTAACACTAATTAATGATAATTAAGGCCAGCCTGCCAGCCACCCCCGCCTGTCCCTGCACTGTAGCCACAACTGGGCTGGGCTCACGAAGGTGGAGCCTAGCTTTTTTCCATCCTCCGTGTAGGGCCCAGGCGGTTCCCGTCCCATTCCTCCACTACCTGTGGTGGTCACACCGGCGAAGACCCAGCACTGGCCGAAGGGGACAGAGTTGCCGGTGCGTAGGTAGCTGAGAAGGATCTCCACGCTGCCCACCCACGCTGATGGGTTGGTGCCGCGGGAATAATCTCCAGACCAGTTCCCAATCAGGACCCCATTGTCATCCAAGGAGTTCACCTGTCCAGGACAGGATGGGGTGGGGCAGAGTTGGGGGAGAGGCTCTGGACCTGCCATGTGGCCCTCAGCCTAGCCCCTGGCCCTGCAACCATCCCTGACCCCTAACCTCTCAGGATTCGGAGGCAGCCTGAGTCCTGCCTGCCCCTCCCACAGCCCTCTGCCCCCCCATCCTGCTCTGACACAGGAATGTGAATCCTGGGTGTGCCAAGTTTAGGGTTTGGTCCTACATTCCAATAGAGCTGGAACAAGAGCCAGGAAGGGGAGGGTTAGGGGGCAGGTTGGGAGGGGAGATGAGTGAGATCCCTTCCCACCGTACCTTTTGCAAGGGCTGGGGTCCTGGAAGAATCAGAAAGGGTAGGAGTGGGGGTGGGAGACAGCAGGCAGAGACTCAGTAGGGCTCAGAGACGCAAGGGAGCTCACCATGGCAGAGATGACCCGGGAGACACTGACGGGGTCCCCACGGCCTCCATAGGGCATACCCCGCCGGTCCAGGATGTACAGGCAGGCGTCCAGCACCCCGTGGTCAAACTGGGGGGAGCCAGGGCAGAGGTGACCCTTAGGCTATCACCTGCACCCCCACCCCGCCTCACCTGCCTCTAGCGCCCCCGAGTGCACGAGGCCCCAGCCAACCATACCTGGCCATAGTTCCAGGTCCGCTCCCCAATCTGCGCTTCTGTCCCATAGTAAATTCGCCCCGACTCATTAAGCACGTACTCCTGCCGCCAGTCCTCATGGTCCACATACACGATGTCCTCTGTGTCCCCAAAACACACATGCCTGGTCCCCTTCAGCCCTCTCCCTGGGTCCCACCTGCCCCTCGGCTGCTTCTGCAGGGCTCAAGACCACAAGGGCAGGGATGCCTCTAGCCTGACAGCACTGCTTCCAGGAAGGATGGAGCAAACAGGATAGGGATAATGGGAGAAGGGTGGCTGTCACCAGGACCCTTCACTAGGAGAGGTGATGCGGCTCTGTGACCTTGCGCTGGTCACTTCTCTACGTCCTGCATCGAGGTCCCCTCACCTGGACACTGGGAGGCTGGCTTCTCCTAGGGCTAGGCACCCAGGCACGAAGCCAGATCTAGTAAAGGAAGTCCTATCTGCCCTCCCCTCCTGTCCACATTTTGCTCCAGCAGCTCACCTGGGCACCAGGGATTGAAGAGGATGTAGATCTCATTGTGGGGGTCGAAGGGCAATTGGAACTCTCCAGCTTCGCAGCGTGTGCGGATGGTGAACTGGAACTTGCCGATGATGGCGTTGGGGGAGGTGTGGACCCGTAGGTTCAGATTCTGCCCACTGGACTTGGTCACCTGGGCTTTCCAGCCTCCACTGCCCCCCTTGCCCACTGGGATGATCACATGGGTGCCCTTGCCCACCTCGGGATTGTTTCCTGCCGTGGGGGAAACACTGATTATCTGCTGCAGCCCACTTGAAGCAGGTGGATGGAGCCCTGGACTTCTCTCAGCCCCACCCAGGATGTGTGTCCTGAGTTGGACAATTGCCTGGGCCAGATTGAGAACAGCTCTGTCCCCACCCGATGCGTGACCACATGTCAGGGCAGAGCTCCAGTCCAACATCCCAAACCTGTTCCCTCCGCACTTAACTCGGAGGTGAGTAGAAGAGACCAGGTCACCGTCACCCTCTGCCTGCCTGACTGTCCCAGTACCTGGGCTGGAGGAGCAGAGCCGCCCTGTCTGGGTCTAGGTGTCCCTGCCTCACATGAAAGCGCAGTTCCTGTCCTGAAAGTCTGGGGCTGCAGCTTCCAGAGCCCAGGGCATCCCTGCTGGAGGTGGTAAGGGTACCTGGGAAATTAGAGGCTGGGGTGGGCAAGGCTAGGCCCTAATCAAAGGGTACCAGGAGTCACCCGCCCCCGGCGGCAGCATAATCACCAGCCTAGGCAGTCAGTGGCCACCAAGCAATACAATGAGGGAGGCACCGGCCCTGGGTCATGGGTACAGAGAGACAGAGTTGGACAGAGAGTGAAGTCACATCCTGGGGAAGGAGGGCAGACCCAGAAAGAAAGATACACAAAAGCAGCAACACTGGAGAGGATGCGGTAGTAAGGATCCAAAGGAAAAGTATCTTGAGACAAATGCTCCTGGAGGCTTGGAGAGGGTGAGCTTAGGAAACGAAAACAGGGAAGCCAAGACCCTCCCTCCGGGGGACACACTTACATGATTACACCTGCCTTAGCTGGCAGGGGCGAGGAGTGGGGTAAGGGAGGAGCCTAAAGACACCCCTGTTACCCTAATACCAGGGCTGGGAGCCCTGCTAACCTATCCCTACTCCACCCTACCTGGGGTCTTCACCACTGCCATCCCCATCCCCCATTGCAGCCTCCACTGACCGATGCACAGCTCCAGGGTGACATGATCGGAGGACTCATAGGGACGAGACAGGAAGAGGACCATGTGGAAAGGCTGCCCACGGCGGAGAATCAGCTCATCGTACTCGAACTCGTCCGTGTGGTGCTCTCGGCGGTTCTGGTCTGAGCGTGAACTCAGCAGATCCACACCAGTCACCACCAGCATTCCCTCTGCAAAGCCACAGCTCTGGCTCAGGAAAGCTTCACGGGGAGTCCAGGCTCCCCCCACCCCCAACTAGCCTCCCAGGCCCCCAGAGATGTCAGAATGAGCCTCAGGCCCCATTAAGGCATTTTGGCTCTAAGAGAGCATGGCCAGGTGGGCCTCACCCCGGATGGTGCCATCTCCAGCTGCGTTCACAGCGCTGCCCCGGGAGCCAGGTCGGCGGGAGTCTGAGCCCCGGGAGTCGGGTCTTCGGCTCCTGGAGCCAGACCCTCGAGCTCCCCGGTCTCCACGGCGCTCAGGGCCCCAGTCATCGTCTTCTGTGTTCCGGCAAGAGCAGCAGCCACAGCAGCGAGCCCAGAAGGAACGGCCCCCACGGCGAGACCGTCTATCTGGCTCTGGTTCCGGCTCTGGGGAAGGTGTGGTGGGGGGCTGCCAGGGGTTTCCGCCCCAGCGGCCCACATCCGAGCGAGGACCGCCTGTGTGGAAGAGGCAGGGAGGCTCTGATCACTCACTCAGGCCTCCTTTACCCCTACAGGATGCTCCAGTCAGCTCACCTGGAAGCCCTCCATCCAGAGAGCTGATTCGGTCCCAGCCAGATGACAGATGATCTGCCCCTGACCCTGAGATTCTCTCAGATCCACCCAGAGACCTTCCCCAAAGACTCCTCTCAGATTCACCTAAAGAAACTTTCCACATTAGAGAGACGAGTCTTTTTCCTCTCTCACCCTACACGGACATCCTCAAAAGCAGATGCCCAATCCAGAAACCTGCTCCAGGGCTCACCCCAGGAAACGAGTGCACGCTTGTCACAGCCTCGAGAGGCGGCAGCGCAGACCATCCTGAGCCTGCTCCCCATGCCAGCTCCTCAGTCTAGAGATCCAATGCTGACAGCCTCAAGGACCCATTGCTTAGAAGGAATCCCCCACCCACTGCTCCCTGCATTAGACAGATGAGCGATATTCACCACTGGGGGTCCTGGCATTTCCCCACGTAGTCGGGTCAAACAGCCCTGAGGAGTTGCTGGGAGGGGTCGGGGGCGGAGGTGCCTGAAGTCAGGCTTCCTCGGCAGGGGATCTCCGCCGGGAGCCTCGCTGGGGCGGACAGCCTCTGGCTGGCCCGCACTCCACCTTCTTAGGACCCGACCTCGGCCCCCAGACAGCATCGCTGGGGTTCAGCATCGCAGTGCACCGTCGGGGCCCCTCACCTGATGAAGGTGTTGGCGACGGCATCTCTGAGTCCCGCGGCGGAGGTGGAACAGGTCGGGACCGATAGGACTGGACGGACTCCGCCGCAAGAATGGAAGGCGTGGGGCGGGCCGGTAAGTGGTTTTTAAGGGTGGAGGGCGGGGCCGAACTTCTGGTAAGAAGGGGAAGGAAGGTCGCTTCGGTCCCCACTTGGGGGAGGAGGTCCAGCGTCTGGGGGCCGGGAAATGACGCTGGGCCACACCCTCTTTTCCCTTTCGAGGAACCAGGGACCGAGGTGTAGGGAGTGGGCGCGGTTGGAGTCTGTGAGGGCTCAACTTGGGAGACTCGGTGAGGCCACCTGTCTGACGGATGCTGCCTGCCAAACTGGGTGCCTCAGAAGCACCTTCTCGGTGGAGAAGCTCAGAGGGCAACAGGGCAGGGAGCCCCTTCCACCCACACCTCTATCCAGCAGACTTGGTCTTCCCAAGCTCAGGCTGCTTGTCTGTCTCTGAAACTGCCCATGGGCTGGCTCTAGGACTCATCCAGCCCAGGGAGGTCCCTGGATCCCAAGTTGTTACCGACTGGTGACATCAGCACCTGGCCCTCAGACTGGCTCCACCAGCCAGCCCTGGACCTGCCGGCTCTACCAGATCCTCTGACCCTACCATCCACCTGTTCCTCCTTCTTCCTCTGGCTCTGCCAAGCCCCCAGTATGAGTGAGAGCTGCTCCCTTCTCCCTGGGTCCCTCCACCTTTGGGATTAGGAAAGTCAGAGTGGAAGCTATCTCGTTTTCTAACCCTCACCCTTCCCCAACCCCCCAGGGGTTTGGAGGTGACTTTGGTCGTTGCTCTGAGGCTCAGGGGGGAATGAAGCCTCTCTCCGCAGGCTGCAGAGTACCCCCTTCTTCCACTGAGACAAATGTCTGGTGAGCTGGAGGCCGGGGTTCTCAACTTGGAATTCTTCCTAGGAATCCTGACCAACCGGCTGCAGCCACCTGCCCAATTCCATCCCAACCCTGGGAGAAACACCACAGAGGCCACCAAGAGAACCCCAAGGCAAAGAGGAGGTCAGGCATCTTCTGGAAGGTTAGGACCCTGTTCTTGGGTTCTCTTCTCTCCATCCTGCCAGAGTCCCAGCTCTGCCCATGGGACACTGAACAGAAGACAGTAAAAACAGGGAGGGCAAGGAGATACAAGGAAGCTGCCTGGAGGAGAGGCTGAGTTTGGTGATGCATGGGACAGGGAGGTGCCTTGGGGAGTGGGGACAGAGGCTCCAGGACCTGGCAGAGCCCTCCACACCCCCACGACCTTTTCCTGTCCAAGTCAAAGCTCCAGACCTGGCAGGGGGTGTCTAACCCCACCTCCAGCACGTTCAAGAGCAGAAATCACACTAGCAGAAATCAAATTTCCAGGCAGGTATCAGGCAGGTCAGCCAAAGGGCTTCATGGAAGGCTGTTTGTGTATCACTCTGGATACGGAAAGGGCAGGGAGGGCCCTGAGAGTCCAGTGTGTGTACATGTAGGCCCAGGTATTTTCTCAGGGAAACAGGAAAATGCCTGGTCACATTCTCTCCCTCTTGTTTCAATCAATCTTTCAGTTTCCCCACCCAGCCAGGTTTGAGTCAGGGCCCTCACCCCTGAGCCACTCCCCTTCCCTCCCGGGAGGCTCAAGTGCCCCAGGGCTTTCAGAGTCAGGACAAGGTATTTGTGTGTATTGGAGGGGGGAACCCTGGGAAAAAAACACCATCTCAGTACTTCAGGAGCTAAGGCCAGGTCCTGCCTAATCCAGAAGCAAGAACATGAATCTAGAATCCCAGACCAAGTTGCAGAGACAGCTTTGGCTCTAGCACTTGAGCTCAGCAACCTTGGGTGCGTCTGAACAGCAGTTTCCTCATCAGCACAATGGGCCTAATCATCTCGGCCCTGAGAGCTTGCGGGTAGCAAGTGGGATCAAGTATTTTCAAGGGCTCTTTATCCTGGGCATGCTACTCAGGGAGACTAATAGTGTTGTTATAAGAGAGTGGAACCAAAAAAAAAAAAAAAAGAGAGAGAGTGGAACCAGGGCGCTCTGACACACACCTGCTGGGAACAGCTTTGGTGAAGGAGAGCCAGGGCAGACAAGGTATCTGGAAGGGGCGCAGGTCATGGAAGAAACTTCTCTGAGCCCTTCTAGTTGGAGAGACTTCCAGGTGCTTTGTAGCCTCACTCCAACTAGAACCTGAACCCCAACCAGATACCAGCCTGGAGCTTAGGCCCAGCCTAAGCTTCTTAGCCTAAGCTAAGAAGGCAGACTCCAATCCAGCCGTGGCCCTGATTCTCCAACCAAGAAGGTTCTGCTTCTCCATGATAGGGAACAGCAAGACTGAGCATAAAACGGAAGCAGAGCCAGGGAGCCGACACATCTCTCTCCCTTTCATGTCCAGAAAAGCAGTGGTGACAGCAATAACGGTGGCGGCGGCGGCAGCTTAGCAGCGCTCAGGGACCTCTTCATTGTTTATTCAGTTCCAATAAGTTAAAGGGTAAGGGTGGGGGCAGGGCCTCTTAGGTGAGGATGCTGCTAACAGAAGGCAGCAGCTCGGCCAGGTGCTCTGAGCTGCCCTCCGCCTGGCACAGCGGGTTGCCCTGCAGGTTAAGGAGGGTCAGCCTGGGGCAGGACGCGAGAGGCTGGAGCACCGCAGGCTGCTGGAGGCCTTGGGCAGGAGTCAAGGAAAGCTGGTTCTCCAGATCCGCCTGCTCCCAAACACCTGTCACTGCAGAACGAGCACTGCTACTGAGAGGCCCACTGGATGGGCCCCTTGGCCACCTCCCCGTAGGACATAGGGCTCTAGGCTGCAGACACTTGCCCCCGGGGGCCAGGCAGGAGGTGCAGGACCCTGACGGGATATGGTCCCAGAGGGGTGGTGGAAACTGTGGCCAAAGGGAAAGCCAGCCCCTGCTGCAGAGGTACCCATGATTCATCAATGGCCAAGGGCTCCCTAGTGGAAATGCAGGCCAAAGCATGCTTCAACTTACACGTTTTGAGAAGAACTGGAACTCTAGGTTTTTTAAAGAATATAAAACCTCCTGACTTTAAACATACGATGTGGTACCCAAGAACATCTGTAGGCACTGGTTTGTGAACTCAGGTTGGAGGAAGTCACTTCCTTCCATCCTACAAAACTCTACCAGTGAGAGTCAATGACAGCCTCATACAGCGCCAGGCTATCCTCTCTTCTCAGCTTAGATGGCCAACGCCCCCTCCTCACACCCAGGGGCATGCCCGCCTCCTGGCCATCCCTTCCTGGTGTGGCACCGTGTCCTCCCTGCTGTCTGAATGGCACCCAGATGGAAGGATACGGTTGTTACACAGAATGAGTTCTTGCAACCGGGGCAAGTTGGTGACACCGTCCAGGGATTCGATTGCGTTATCATTGGCCTGCAGCACCTGGGAGCAGGGAAGACAAGGCAGGCAGGCCACTGTCAGCATGGGACTGGTACAAGCCACTGGGTGATCAGTTTACAGGGCATGGAAGGGCTCCTGGGGCCAGGCTGCGTGACAGAGGAGCATGCTGGGGTCCTCTGTGGGGGCTGGGATGACCCGGGCATCTCTTAGTAGGGTGGGTAGACTTCTGAGGTGGAGGAAGGGGAAAGGGAAACCCAGGACCATGACAGAGGAGTGGGGGCTTTACCTCAAGGCAGCGCAGGGCAGCCAGGGCAGGCGGCAGGGATCGGAGACGATTGTGCGACAGGTCAAGGTGAGTGACCAAGAGCAGCTGCTCCAGATGGCAGAGCACCGTCAGATCCTGAGGAGGGGGATGAGATACCCAGCGAGGCCAGGGAGACAGCTCTCAGCCGTCGTTCATCAGGCCTTCGCCCGGTGCGCCCCACACAGGCCCTGGGGGACCCCAGCTGAGGACAGGCGCGAGCAGCTGGGAAGCATACCTCACCACCCCCGGCAGTACATGTTCCAGATCAAGGACACGGGGGAGACAAAGGTGCTGGGGCCGGGGTGGCCTGAGATGGGGCAGGTACACAGTGCTGGGATGAACACAGACACTAGCGGGAGAGGGCCTGGGAAGCCCGGAGTTGGTTTGGTGGCAGCAAAGGTGGGCAGCAGCGACATGATAAAAATAACGTGTTGGGGAGACCGATTAGGAAGGACTACAGAGAAAAAAGAGAGTCAGGAGTTTGTCAGAAATCTCTGAGAACTATTCAGCGGTTAGGTGTTGGGGTCTGCCCCAGGGAGAGAAGCATAGATGAGCTAAGGAAGAAATGTCCAGAAGGGCATGTGAGATGGAAGGCAAAGCGGGGGACGGTGAGTGTCTTGGCTGAGGCCTGGGGAGCAGATATAGACACTGCCAGGTCCTGAGGAAGAGGGAGGCAGGCCAGTGGGGTGAGGGAGGGGAAGGCGCTTGCGCATACCCCACCTTGTGAGCTAGGTGCAGCACGCGCACCTCCGCGTACTCCATCTTGAGCACGCTGTTCTCCAGCAGGAACTTGCTGCGCAGGTCATCAAGGTACGCTGCCCTCATTGGGTCCACAGCCTGGCAGGGAGAGGAGGCACAGGGACTGTGTGTCAGCTGCCCGCCCCCTGCGCGCTGGGCTGCCCCCGTGCCAACTACCGCAGACCCAGCCTGCCTTGAGGGTTTGGAAGTACTGCAGGGTCTCCTTCTCATACTGCAGGGGGTCCAGCGCCCTCATCAGCAAGATGATGGTGAGTAGGCACCCTGGGGAGAGGGCGGGGAAGAGGACGGCAGGTCTCATCTGGATCCTTCTGGCGAGGAGCCTGTCTAGGATGGGCCCTCCTCAGAGGAGCAGGAGCTCAGGGGAATCGGGCCTCACATTTATTCTCAGGCTCCAGCTCCTGCAGCTCCTTACAGGATTCCAGCTCCGACTGCAGCACCGTGGACTTCTCCACCGACAGCTCACACCTGAGGGGGGCCAGGGTCGGGGAGCGGTGCTGGTCATCCCCAGGAGCCAGTCTGAGACATCTGCCCTCGGCACCCCACCCAGCTGCCCAGAGTGCAGAGCCCTGCTCCTGCGTGTGCCTGCCTGTGCTCATCACCTGAAGAGCTGCTCATCCGTGGCGGAGTCCCGGCACCAGCCTTCTTGGTGGCCTGAGAGACAGGGCAGGAGTAGCGGAGGACACCCATGAGAGGAAGCCAGGGATGGGGGGCTGCCGGGGGGCTGCTGCGAAGCGTGGAGGCTGCAGGCTGGCTCACCTTTTAAGAGCACACACTCCTTCTGGGCATCGCCTGCCGTCCAAATGACACGAAACGCATGCTGGGGCAACTGATCGTTGAGGGAGGTGGCGGGCAGGTCACAGAGCTGGGAGCACAGGGTTATGAGAAAGCCCAGGCTGCACCACTTTTCTGACTCTCCCACCCCAGCCCTGTCCCAGCCTCGACTCCGCCCACCAACCCCGGGATACCCAGACGTGGCTAGGCCGGTTCCTGCCCTCTGGGGTCCTCCACTCCACAGCCAGGGGTGACTCATCAACCATGAGCAGCAAGGTCTCCGCGCCCGAGCCCACCTGGTGCAGGGGACAGAGACAGACCATCACTCCAACGGCACCAGGCCCACCATCCACGGTACCCTTCAGCCAAGGCTTCGGGACTCACGAGGAGGGGCCGAGAGAAGGAGACGGTCAGGCAAGCCTCATCCCGGCTCACGTGCAGGCAGCGCAGGGCATCCTGGGGATCCGCTGTGGGAAGAAACAGTCTCAGGTCGCCTTAAATATCCTTCCATTCCTTCTTGGCTCTAATCCCCCACCTCTTCTCTACTGTTCACCTCGTCCCAGGAGCCAGCGATGGTAGAACCAGGCACTCTGATCATTGGGGTCAGTGAAGAAGGCGTTCTGCACCAGCTCCAGCTCTGCAGGGGCCAAGGAGGCATGCGGCTTTGGTTAGGACCCTTCTGGGCTCCTGTCTACCCCTACGGACTGCCCTCTCCTTGGAGAACTTCCTGCCTTCAGTTTCACTTCTATGCCAGCCTTACCTAGGGGCTGGGTACATCAGGAGCCAAGTGGACACTTGGGCTCCCTGCAGCCAGGGGCTGGATCTTATGCATCCCCAGAGCCAAGCATTTTCCCGAGTGGTAGGTTCAGGAGCAGGCCTAGGCATCAGGGTCAGAAGGGCAGCACGGCAGAGTCCTCTAGAGCACACCCTGACCCTGCTTACCTTTGAGCAGCACATCCTCAGGGAGGCGCCCCTGGGGTCCACAGTCCGGCTGAGGGTGCAGCTGGGGCAAGAGGCAGGAGCGGTAATGCCAGGAGGAGTAGTTGGAGAAGTTTCGGGTGATGAGGCTGTCAGTGAAGGCAAGCTCCTCTGCAGGGGGCACAGCTGCCTGTGCAGCCACAAACCGCCGGTAGTCCCAGCAGTGAACTGGGGGGATAGGCAGACAACACATCTCAGAAGCAGGGCAAGAAGAGCTGCCTGGCTGGGACCCTGGCATCCCTTTGGAGACCCCAAGAAACACCTCTGTGCCCTACATGGAGGACACATTTGACTTCATCATCCCTTGTGTCATCAGCTCAGTGGGCCCATCCTGGTCATCCATCCCAACTCTGGACCTTACTGAGGCCCTAGTACCGGGACACGGGGCAGGTGTAGGCTGGAGGACAGACTCTGCAGGAACGTACAGTTCCGCTCGTCAACCTCGAGGAAGCGGGCACACAACTCCAGCTCCCGGGCCCAGTTGGGCTCTGGCAGGCGGCCCAGCAGCCAGCAGCGGTGGTGCCAGGTACCATAAGACTTGGGGTTCACCCTCAGGCAGCTCTCCAGGAAGCCCAGTTCTGCCTTCACCAAAGCGGCCAACTCCTCAGAGGACCTGTGCCCGGAAGAATGGGGGTCAGGGCCCTCCAACACCCAATCTCAGTTCACCCCTGACTTTCTGCATCCAGCCCTCCACTGCCCTCTGCCTATGCCCCTGGCTGCCCTATTCTTCTTCCACCCCTGGACCCAGGCTGGCAGGGCCAGAGGGAGTGGCCATCTTCCTTGGGCCCTAAACCCCTACATACTTCTGGACCTCCAGCCGCTGGAGGACCTCTCGTCGACAGTTCCAGAGGGTGGCAAAGTCAGGGTTGGCTCCCAGAATCTGGCTTGTCAGTTCCAGCACTGACTCATCCAGCTCTCCAGCCTGGCGCTGAGAGGATAGATAGCGGGATCAGGGATCACATCACTCTTCTGCTACAGAGCTCCATAACATAAATAGAACTACTGAATGTTCTGTGAATGCCACGCTTTACTACAAGTACTATACAAAGCACTTGATGGGATAATATGTAATCTTGCAAGCATTGATTTTCACAATTGCCTTATGCAGTAAGTGCAATCCTTAGCCCTGTTTTACAGATGGGCAAATTGAGGTCTAAAGAGATTCAGCAGCTTGCCTAAGGACACACAGCTAGTAAGTGATAGAAGAGATGTGGATCCAAGCAACCTGACTCTAAGGCGCAGTTCTTGGCCAAGTGCTATGCTAAGGGAGCCACAGTGAGAGGGGACTACCTCTGAGGGCCCCACCTTCTGGAAGACAGTCTGGGTGGCTGCCTGGTATAGCTTCAGCTTCTGTTCCCGCTCTAGTCTTTTGGCTTCCGCTTGCTCTTCCGATGTCTTCACCTTCAGGCGCCCGTGCTATAGGGATGGGTGGGTTGCAAGAGTGCAGGCTGACTTGCTGGGGCAGACCCCCCGGAACCACCCCAGTGGAGCCCCAGGTTTATATCGGGCAACGGAGGCAAGCCCACGCTGGACAAGGGCAAGGGCATGAGCATGCGGAGGTAGGGCGCTGGGCTAGGTTCTCACCATGGTGCTGGCTCAGATTCAGGGCAGGGGAAGGGTCCAGTGGTGCCCGTGAAACCTGGCGAAAGACGTGTCAATCATGGGAGTCCCGCCCCTTGGAGCCCCGCCCCTCCTGTCCCCAGGAAGCCGTGAGCAAGCCCGGGCGGAGATCCCTGGGGTGTTAAGGGGTCCCGGGACAGACACTGCAAGTCCAGGAGGAACCCACCCGAACTGGACTTGCACACGTGCGGCCCTGCCCACAGCCCGATCCGCCCGGACCGGGGTCGAGTTGGGGCACTTAGGTGATGGGGACCACTCCGCGCCCAGAGGTTGCCGCTACCCGCCCGCCCCACGGCTCCCAAGCACTGCTGCCCCCCGCGGGCGGACCCACCTGGGCTGGGAGGAGGCGAGCGGGACGCGGAGCTGCGGCGCCCGCCACTGAGTCGGAGCGCTGGCTAGAGCGGCGTCACGCCCTGGCTTCTCCGAGGCGCAGCTCCCTCTGCAGGCCTGGGGAGGGGCTTGCGGGAGAGCCGACCGACTCCGGAAGCGCCTGCGCAAGATCCCTGCGCGCTCTGTTCGAAAACGCCAAGTCCCTGTTAGCCTTCTGGTGTGTGAGAGTGTGAACGCTTGACTCTGATGAGCTCGGGAAAGCAGCGCGGCGTGCAGTTCCCAGCCAGCTGCTCAAACTGCGTTTCAGTTGAAAAGATTTCAACAACGGAAACCCACCCTTTCATCGCGGGAGTGACCTCACTCTGGCCGCACTGGCCGCCTCTTAGTTGCCAGACCTAAGGAAGTTTCCTGTCCTTATCTTCGTTGACTTCTGCAGTGTTTGACGCTACAGACTTTCCTTGACTTGACACCGTGTTCTGGCCTCTCCTGCAGTTTCGCCCCTTCTTCTCGTCTGTTCACCCTGTTTTCCCCTAAATGCTGTTGACCTCCTTTACTCATTCCTTTTTTCACGCCCTTCTCCAGGAAGAATGTTCACAGATCCAAGCCTTCAACTGCTTGGAGTTGGAGCTCCTCAGAGCTCAGTCCTGAGTCCACAGACCTTCTGGCCCACACTTTCTCCTAGTGACTACATCCACAGTCTTGGTTTTAATTGCTACCTGTATGCTAATGGCCCTCAAACTTGTATCTCCAGTCCACGTGTCTTGTGAACTGTAATAATGGAAAACACACACACACACACACACACATATTCATAAGTCTATTAGGTATCACCTGGGTGTCCAAGGGACACCGGGAACTCCAGAAGTCAAAAAGTATCATTGTCTCCTCTCCTTCCAGTCTAACCTTTGGCCTTCATGTTACCTATATCAGTGGATGGCCTCCGCACTTTTCCATGATATCTCATAAATACCCTCTCCATTCCCACTGTGCTAAGAATTTCTGTTCATTTATTCCAGAGATAGTTGAAAGTCTTTTCAATGTCCCCTCATTTTTCACCCTGTCACCCCGTTATCTCTGTGTTGCTGATTCAACCTTTCTGAAATGCAGATTCGATCGTGATGTGTCTCTGCCAAAAACACTTCCATGAAGCTTTTTGGGAAAGACTCTGAATCTCTCAGGTCAGCACATTAAGCTTTTTGGCATTTGGGCCCTGCTTATCCCTATGGTCTCATGTTCTGCCTTTATGAAAAACTCTTCATTTCAGCTGATAGAACGACTTGGGGTTTCCCAAGCATGTTAACCTGTTCCCTCTTTCTTACTCTCCTCCACACCTCTTCCTTTGCCAGAATAACTCCTGTTCACCTTTAAAATTTAACTCAAGTGTCACCTCCAGGAAGCTTTCCAAAATACGTCAGTCTGTCAATGATAACACTTATTCCTCTGTCCTACTGTGAAGTCTTGATGTGTATGCTAGCTTCTCCTAGGAGATTCAAAGTTCCTGGAGGACAGGAACAACATTTTTTTGATCCTCCTTCTCCAATACCTTGTCCCGATTTTCAGTAGTTATTAGATAGTTATTTGAATGAACAGAACATTACATAGTGAGGGCTGGCTTGGCTGGGCCTAATGGTCAGTGCTATACACATTTAGGGATCTGAGAGATTGTGAGGCCTGGACCAGCTCAGGAAGGTTTCCTGGTGGAAGCTTCATGGGTTCAGAGTGGTCACTGATTGTGTATGTGTGAGTGTGATGTATTTGTGAGAAGTGTGTGTCCATGTGGCATATATTTAAGACACATCTGGGTAAGAAAATATGGCTTTAAATTCTTTATATTGCTTCCCCACCTTTCTTAGGCCCTGGAAATGTGTGTAACGTGTCCACTCTCTGTTCTGTCCTGACAAGTTACAGGGAAAGAGACACTTGTCCTGGCCTTCTCTGCTTGCAGTCACCTTCCTCACTGGGTCTGCAGTGACAAGCACTGTGTCAAGGGCTTTGCACACACAGAGGATTACATGTGGGAGGCAGTAAAGAGAGTGCTTAGGAACATGGACTCTGGGGTCTAGCTGCCTAGGTACAAATTCTGGCCTTGCCATATATTATGTATGTGACCTGGGCAAGATACTTAATATCCGTGTTGAGCTTCTACTGTGTCTCAGTATTTTCAACTGAAGCACAGGGAAAATAATGTTACCTACCTGCTAGTGTTGAGTGAAAATTAAATGTAAAAGTCTATGTAAAGTGGTTAGGACAGTGCCTGAACAGTACTGGGTAAGGTAAATGATCATAGTCGTAATTTCTTCTTTTTGGCTGGGCTGGGTGTTCCTTGCAATGTGCAGGGACTTCTCTCTACTAGTGGCATGTGGGCTTAGTTGCCCCACAAGTGCTATCTTAGTTCCCTGACTGGGGATCAAACCCGTGTCTCCTGCATTGGCAGGCAGATTCTTAACCGCTGGACCACCAGGGAAGTCCTAGTAATCTTCTGATTTTCTTAACAAATATGCCAGGAAATAGAGGCTCAGAGAGAAAGGCTAAGTAACTTGCTAAGTGTCACCCATATAGTAAGTGGTCAGAGAAACATAGGTCTGATCTGGCCCAATCCTCTCTCCACTTCACCAGCTACATTTTTGTTTTGTTGGTTGAGTTTTTCGCTCACTGTCTATTCTTGCTTCCTACTCTATAACCACTCACATGTACAACCAGGTATCTGGGAAGACAGCCCACAGGTATAGATATGACAGGTGCAGTCTTACATCATAGTCGCAAAGGGTGGAGGAGACGGGTGGAGGAAGGCTGCAGGAGGCATGAAATATTTTTTCGTGATTAGCAATCCTGAAACTGGGAGGTTTGCGTCAAGCAGACTTAAGGGAGGAAGTGAGTCTTAAATCTGCTTCCAAGAAGGTGGGGCCTGGTTTTGGAAAGAGGACAGGAAGGGCATTTCAAGCACGTGTTATGACAGGAAGGTGGGTGAGAGATAGCCAAACAGACTTAGCTGGCTGGCAGAGACTGAACCAGGTGCCTGTGGAGATAAGAGCAGTGGAGCCAAGACAAGCCTCTTGCTTTAAGGCAAAAGGATGTGTCAGGAGTTATATTTGGCCTCCTGTGTGGGATAAGTGGGAAGCAGGCAGGTGTCTGAGGCCACAGTCTGAATGATGCTTGAGGAAGGGATTTTACTCCCTTCTGTGCAGAGAAAAGAGCAAGAATAACCGAGTACTGACTGGGCCCAGACATCCTATTTGAGGCACTCACCACCTGTTATGATTGCACAGTGAGGACCCATGCATACAGTGGGCTCCCACAGAGGTTAAGTTGCTTGCCCAAGGACACACAGCTGGAGGAAACCAAGTGCCCCTACACCGAACTTATGATTAATCTCTCTAACTCAAATTTTATTCCCTTTTTGTACCCTCTGATCTCAATCCTGTGCTAACTGAACACCAATCAACCAGAGTCGGATGACTAAAATTGCTGTTGTGGATAACAGAAGAGGGCAGTGTGGGCGTAGGCAGGAATTCCACCCAGTAGGGAATGGGCCCACGGGAGGCAGAGTTGAGAGACCCACCAACAGACTCTAGTAGAGGCGTGTGAGGGCCTGACTGGGGCTGTGGCACGAAAAATCCTCACTGGGGAGTGAAGGAAAGGATAGACTCTGAAGAGAGGTTCTGTGACCTTGAAGCCAATGTTAATAACAACTAAATTCTTTACAACCAGGATGAGAAGAAACTGAGACGCTGCCCAAGGTCACACAGTCTGTAAGTGATAGAGCCTGGTCTCATGCTGAAAGTCAGGGTGCCCTTCAGAGGACAACTGAAATCACCATTTATACACACACAATAAAGTTCTGTCCTTCTCTAAAACATACTGACCGTATAGAACAGACTTGTGGACTCTGGGAGAAGGCGAGGGTGGGATGTTTCAAGAGAACAGCATTGAAACACGTATATTATCTAGGGTGAAACAGTTCACCAGCCCAGGTTGGGTGCATGAGACAAGTGCTCGGGCCTGGTGCACTGGGAAGACCCAGAGGGATTGGGTGGAGAGGGAGGTGGGAGGGGGGACCGGGATGGGGAATACATGTAAAAAAAAAAAAAAAAAAGATACACTATGGTTGTGATAAAAAAAAATACATATAAAAAATAAAACATACTGACCAACCAACCAACCAACCAACCTTGGCTATCTGATTTCAGAAGACACCTTACTTCCCCTCTCTCTAGCTTGTCCACTGTGCTCGGCTGCGCCCAATGAACATCCAGGGTGTGGGTATGTGAAGCGTTGCGAGACTTCTAGGAAGCTGGGGTGAGTGTGCTGGAGAGCCAGGTTGGGAGGGAGTTCTACTGTGAGGAACTCAGAACTGATGTTCTAAATCTTCTTGAGGCCATAGTTCTGCAGGGTATCAAGCGAGCAGTGGTTAGATATTTGGATGGGGGCACCCCAGGCACTTGAGGGGAAATCAAATGCTGGGAAGT